TGAGTTTCTTTGTGTATGGTGCAAGAGAGTGGTCTAGTTTCATTCTTCTGCATGTGGATGTCCAATTTTCCCAGCACCATTTATTGAAGAGACTGTCTTTCTTCCAGTGGATAGTCTTTCCTCCTTTATCGAATATTAGTTGACCATAAAGTTGAGGGTCCACTTCTGGGTTCTCTATTCTGTTCCATTGATCTATGTGTCTGTTTTTGTGCCAATACCACACTGTCTTGATGACCACAGCTTTGTAGTACAACCTGAAATCTGGCATTGTGATGCCCCCAGCTATGGTTTTCTTTTTTAAAATTCCCCTGGCTATTCGGGGTCTTTTCTGATTCCACACAAATCTTAAAATAATTTGTTCTAAGTCTCTGAAGAAAGTCCATGGTATTTTGATAGGGATTGCATTAAACGTGTAAATTGCCCTGGGTAACATTGACATTTTCACAATATTAATTCTGCCAATCCATGAGCATGGAATATTTTTCCATCTCTTTGTGTCTTCCTCAATTTCTTTCAGAAGTGTTCTATAGTTTTTAGGGTATAGATCCTTTACCTCTTTGGTTAGGTTTATTCCTAGGTATCTTATGCTTTTGGGTGCAATTGTAAATGGGATTGACTCCTTAATTTCTCTTTCTTCAGTCTCATTGTTAGTGTATAGAAATGCCAGTGACTTTTGGGCATTGATTTTGTATCCTGCCACACTGCCAAATTGCTGTATGAGTTCTAGCAATCTTGGGGTGGAGGCTTTTGGGTTTTCTATGTAGAGTATCATGTCATCGGCAAAGAGAGAGAGTTTGACTTCTTCTTTGACTTTTGGCCATTTTAATTATGTATCTTGGTGTTGGACCTCCTCAGGTTGGTTTTGTTTAGGGTTCTCTGTGCCTCCTGGATCTGGATTTCTCTTTCCTTCCCCAGATTCAGGAAGTTTTCAGGTATTATTTCTTCTAATAAGTGTTCTGTCCCCTCTTCTCTCTCTTCTCCTTCTGGGATCCCTGTAACACGACTGTTATGGTACTTGATGGTGTTGCTGAGTTCTCTTAACCTGTTCTCATTTTTTATTATTCTTTTTTCTTTCTCTTGTCCAGCCTGATTGCTTTTTATTAGTGTCTTCCTGGTCACTGATCAGTCCTCTTGCTTCCTCTAATCTGTTTATACCCTCTGGTGTATTTTTAATTTCAGTTATTGAGTTCTTCATCTCTGATTGGTTCTTTTTTATGTTTTCTATCTTTGTGGAGTGTCTCACTGAGGTCTCCATCCTTTTCTCAAGTCCAGTGAGTATCTTTATAACCATTACTTTATATTCTCCATTAGGCATGTTGCTTATCTTCATTTTTTTTAGGTCTCTTGCTGTGATTTTGTTCTGTTCTTTCATTTGGGACATATTCCTCTGTCTCATTCTATCTAACTCTCTATTTCTCTGTATCAGCTATGTCTCCTGCTCTTGATGGTAGTGGCCTTTTGAAGAAGAGGTCATATAGTGCCCTGCAGTGCAGTGTTCCCTGTTACTCCAAACCTGGTGCTTCAGGGGGGTCTCCTGTGTGTGTTGTGTGCACCCTCCTGTTGTGGCTGGGATGTGTTTGCCTTGAGTCTCGTCTGCAATGGCTCTCTGCCTGTTGTGGGCAGGGTCTGGTCCCTGTGGTGTTAGTGGGCTGCCTTGAGCTTGGGATGAGTCAGACCAGGTGTTTGCCAGAGATGAAGTAGCACCAAACTATAGGGCACTCTCCCTGTCTCGTCCCCTAGAATCTTTTGTTGGTGGGTAGACCTACAGTCAGACTGGTGTGTGGTCATCTTCCCCTCTCCAGGGCAGGACTCATTTTGGAGTGGGGCTGGTTGGTGGTGGGGCTGTTTGCACACTGCCAGGCTTGTGGCACTGCTTTGGAGGGACTCTTGCCAAGGGCCCTTTGGAGAGTGGGTGGACCCACAACATGCATGTGAGTGGGGTGCAGTGCTAGCAAAGTCTGTGCAGGTCTGCTGTGGGAGTGGATCTGGAGCTGAGCTCTGGCTGGAGGGGGCATGTCCACACTGGAGTGACGGGGTGCTGTGAGCAAATTAGTTCCAGCCAATGTTAGAGTATCTAGGCTAGGGGAGAAAAGTGGCACCCGCCAGCTCCTTTGTTCCTGGATAAGTCTCCCCCTGATTTCTGTCCCTTGTTCCTATATGCCCCAGGCACTTTTCATACTGAAGCTTCTGTGCTATATCTATGTGGGATTGTCATGCAGTCTCTTTAACAGTGGGGATGGGGGATCCCTGGGTGGCACAGCGGTTTGGCGCCTGCCTTTGGCCCAGGGCGCGATCCTGGAGACCCGGGATCGAATCCCACATCGGGCTCCCGGTGCATGGAGCCTGCTTCTCCCTCTGCCTGTGTCTCTGCCTCTCTCTCTCTCTCTCTGTGACTATCATAAAAAAAAAAAAAAAAAAAAAAAAGAAAACAGTGGGATGGTCTCCTCTCTCCTTCCCAGCTCTCCCAGAGCTGAGTCAGTGTTCTCAAGATTCCAGGGTTTAAGTCTTCCTGGTTTTAAGAAGTTGTAAAATTTGACCTATCTCATTTCCAAAGCCAAATGTGACGAGGATTCGTTTTCCCCATGCTGGATCCTCCCACCCCAGTCTTTGCCTATGGGTCTCTCTCCTGCCAGCAGACCCCGGGTCCAGTTAGGCCCCCACCCCGTCTCTACCCTTCCTATCATTTTCTGGGTCTCTACATTCAGCTGTGGGGTCTGTTCTCCCAGTCTACAGAATTACTTATGCTGATGTAGATGTTATCTAGGTTTACCTGGAGGACAAAGTGAGCTTGGGTCCTCCTACTCCACCATTATTCCCCAGAAGTCTTAGTTTGATGATTTTATAAATGAAGTTATCGAATCCATATATTTAAAGATTGCCAAAACATTAAATTTTCAGCTTAGACGTACATTTTTTTAAATACTGGGTTTTAATATTTGAGATTCGTGGTGAATATATTCACTTCATAAACCAAGATCTCCTTCCAGGTTTTTGTATCTTTTCCTTGTTGAACACAAGTTACAGTGGTTGTGATGACTCTTCCAGATGTGGAAGGTAACTACCCATATGTGGTAGTTACAGCCTATAGAAAGTCCTCTACCCAGGAAGACCCTCTGCTACATGAATCCATGATTTGGGGCACCAGCTGGAGGGATCTGGTTAATAATAGCAAGTTTACTGAGTAAGGATTGAGATAAGCTTTCTAATTATTTTTTAGCATACCTTTGGACTATTAGTAAGCATCATTGCCAACCAGTAATTCTCCATTTATTGATGTGTTGAGCACCTGGTCTGTACCAGGCACTGCTGCCATGTGCTGGGAGTCCTCAGACAACTCCCTACTTATTATACAGAACTCAAGATCTATTATAGGAACCAAAGTAGAGAGATACTAATGTGTGATGTATGCTATGATCATTTGGATGATATGGTCATGTGGAAGAAGAGAAATTGACCTAGCCTGCAAGAAGTGATAATTCATCTGGGTTTTGGAAGATTGTGTTGAGTTAGCCAGGTAAAAGGGTCCAGGGTGTGTGGGTAGCTGAGTGGAAAGAGCACCCTAGGCGAGGGGAGAGTATTGATATGGAACCATGAGCAAGCATGGCATGTTCTGGAGCTATAAATAAGATGGAACCTAGTTTGCAAATGGGGAACTGGTGAAAGGTGAGATTCTCTAAGGAAGCAGGGCCAGATGAGGAAGGGCCTTGAATATCACAATGTATGTTGACCATAGAGTAGCTACTGAAGGATTTTGAGCAGGAGGGTGAAATGATTTGATTTAGAAATGTCTCAGGACCCTAGGGTATGTGTAGATGGCGGGGGGAAGGGGGGCAGTGAGAATAGATAAACCAGTTACAAAACTAGAAATCCTGGGGGGACTAAGGTAAGACGATGGTGAGGATGAAAGAAGGTGGAGCCACAAGCTTCAGATGGGCACGTGGCCCAGGCTTGTGCCAAGATACCTGGCTTGGCCACCAACATGGAAGGGTTCACATTACAGAGAGGAAGTAGGAGGGAGAGGCTTGTGTAGAAACAACTAAGTGCCGTACATGTTGGAAATCTAATACTCATGGGACAGCCAGATGACTGTCTTCAGTCAGCAATTGGGGTTAGAGATCTGGGGCAAAAGGAAGTGACAGGAGCTACAGAACATGTGTATTATGTATGTGCCCAGCAGCCCAGGAAGAGCAGGATGGGTGGAAGGAGAGCAGCATCCCAGGCAGAATAAGGAACGAAGCCAGCTGTCAGATGTGATGCAGACATCATGCAGCATGAAGGCTGACCAGCTAGTGTCAATCTGTTAGTGATGCGGCCACACAGCAGGGCCTGGAGTGGCTGAGAGATGCATACGCAGAGACCCGGAGTTCACAGGCCATCTTTTCAAGGCCTGTGACTGTGGAGAGGAGGTGGGGACCCAGACAGTAACTAGAGGAAAACAAAGCACAAGAGGGGCTTCTTGTGTATACTTTTAATGAGAGGTAAAAGGGAAGCCTGTGGCAAAGGAGAGCTTGAGAGAGAAGACTAATGAGTGACACAGGGATGACTTGGTTGGCATGTGGGAACAGGTGTCTCTTCCTCTGGAAAAGGAGGATGAAGTTAAGACAGCATGGGTGCAGCTAAGCCTCGGGGAGGGCTGGGACCAGAGGGTGTCACCATGGGACATGGGAGGACAACTTCTCTCCTGATGACCAGGAAATGGGCAGAAAGTGAGGCTGTGCGAAGGCGGTGCTAGTGATCCAGCATACAGCAGGGTGTCTGCGTGTGTGCATTCATTGGAGGGGGAGGTTAAATTTACATTTACTTTAGTTTTGCTTTATTATAAATTATTTTAGCAACTTAAGAAAAAAATCAGCATGGACTCTTATTTTTACTAATGCAGCTACATATGCTGCAATTTAAATATCGTGTTTTTTATGTGCAAATGTAGCCCCAAATGAGGCTGTGATCGTATTATGATTAAACATACATTATGAACTGTATTTTCTTTTGGTTCTGGACAGGACTACCTTGAAATTAAAAGAATGATTTTCCCAAGATTTTACTTTCTTAGCAACGCTGAACTCCTTGATATTCTAGCTGACAGCAGAAATCCTGGGTCTCTACAGGTAATATTTTTCTCTGCTCAGGGATATTATTTCCAAACCAGGTCAGAATTGTATAGTGTTTATTGACATTTGATTCTGGTCCACAGCCTCATCTTGTGAAGTGTTTTGAAAATATAAAACAGTTATTGATTTGGAAACAAGAAATTGGCCCTCCTGCTGTGATAATGCTCATGTCTGCTGAAGGGGAAACTCTTCTGTTGCCCAAGTATGACATATGTGTTACTAATGAAACATTCAGACACCATAAAACTTTATTATTTAAAACCTCTGCTTGGAAATTTCTGATATTTCAAGAAGTTTGCTAAGCAAACTATTTCCCCAAAGATAATGTACTTATGCAGAATTTTACCTTTTCATGTCTGTATTTATTGGTATTATCCTAGGTGCCAGCATAGGGGTTTTATTATAGGAACTTATTAGGAAGAAAATTTGCTATTTGCTTGATGTTGTTCATGCTGCTCCCTATGCTGCCTCCCTGGCCCCTGGCCCCAGGCCCCCGCTCATCAGCTGATTCCCTCCAGCCTTTGGCATGTGGCTCCTATTGAGAGTTGATTAAAAAATGCTGTGCCCAAGTGTTTCCATCCACTAAAGTCCCTAACCCCACCCTGACCTAGGCTGGCTGTTTAAAAGAGCCAGCGAGGAATACAAAAATGCTCTGTAATATAATTTATCTACTTTGTCAGTTCATGTTTTAGTGGAAACTCTTAATTTTGTAAGTCAATGGTTTCAGTGTCATAGTTCCATAAAGTTAAGTGATAAGTTGTCTCCGTAGCTTTCCAAATTAAGATCTAGAAAAAACACAATTGTAGAATTATGATCCTTTGGCCTGTGAATGTTGTAAGTGTAGAAAAGTTAGTCTACAGCCTTATCAAAGGAATGAAGAAACATAGATAAAAAGAATTATTTGCGATTTTTTTTGGAAAAAATTACAGGAAAATTCGTGTAAGAAGTGCTGTGGAACAGTGGTTGATAAATGTAGAGAAAAGCATGTTTGATGTACTGAAAAAGTAAGTACAATTTTTAAAAGATTTTATTTATTTGAGAGAGAGAGAGAGCGCGCGCGCATGAGCAGGGAAGAGGGAGAGGGAGAAGGTGGGAGCCTGATGCGGGACTCAATCCCAGGAGCCCAAGATCATGACCTGAGCCAGACACTTAACTGACTGAACCACCCAGGTGTCCCTGTGAGTACAATTTTTAATTCTAAGATTGCATTATATATATTTAACCTTGGTTAATTACCTACTAATCTTATTGGAAAGGATCTGTAGAAATGTAGAGTGAAGTCTTTTATGAAATGGGCTTTGATAGAACATGACAGCACATGGCTGGATGGAAAATCACTTTTCCAGCGTGAATGTCAGTTTGAGAGCATGATCCTGGACTGACTGCATCCAGGTGTTTTTTTGTGTGCTTTCAGCCTAGTCAGTTTTCCAAAGACCCCATGCCCTGAAGGCTCGGTCGTAGCCCATCCCCGTTCTGCTTCCTCACGTTGTTTGCTTGGTTCCATCTTTGTGATGTTCTCCTTTTTTACGTTCCAGTTGGTTTAGAGCGAAGAAAGAGCCCCAGAGCATGAATTTTTAAATGACTTCGACTCGAGCTGCCTTGTTCATTTCTAATTCTTTGTGGTTGGTTATATTTGTTGGTCTTAAATAGTTCTTATATATATTTGTATTAATTAATATGATCCTGAATGCCAACACGAGCCTCCTAGAGCAGAGCAGATCATAACCACAACAGCTTTCTCCGCTGTAGTCCTTCCCCAGGTGATGTGATCAGAGCCAGATGCCGTCTCCCATGAGGGCAGAAGCTTCTGCAGGCACTCAAGAGACGGATGTTCACTTGTCACGCCAGGACCATCTTATCAGCTGCTAATCATGATAGTTCTTTCTCTTTACGGTTCTTTTGAAATGTCTCTTCCTTTTCATGTTACTTAGGATGACAAATTTGGTACAATGTTGAAAAGTACACATGACAGTCACCATCCTTCTTTCTGGGAACATTTCTAATGTTTCACTGTTTGTTATGATGCTAGGATTTCTGGAACATACCCCTCCTCAAAATAAAGAGTTTTATTCTCTAATTTGTTTGCAAAGTTTTTAACAATTGAAGGGTATTTAATTAGTTCAAAAGTTTTTTAATGAATCTATCAAGAAACCTAAATACCCCTTTGCCTGAAATTTGCCATGAATGACAACCACAAATGTCCTTATGTTGAACTTTCCTTCATTTTCCTTTTCATATTTTGGTCCACTTAGTTTATTTTCTGGAAAATTGTATTAAACATTTCCTCCTTTTCTGTGGGTTTGTCCTTATCCTCTTTTTGTTTCTAGCATTTATTTCTAATAAATAACTGCATTACCACCCATGTTAGCTCCCTGAACCTTGCCCACAGCCCTGCAAAAAGTCCCCTCATTAAACTCTCTAGGCACCCTTCACATGTGCTGCTGCATGCATGCTTCCCATCCTCTGTCCACCCTTGAATCAGCAGGCTTTGGGTCTGGGGGTTTTTACTTCCTGTTGCTGCACTGAGTTTCTTCATATCTTTTGGGGCAGTCATGCCAAAGTCAGGGACATTTCCTTTGTTGTAGTGAATACTCCTAAAATGTGAATGCACATTGTGAAACATACTTTCATCAAAGCTTATGGTAAATATCTCCAATTTGTCCCCAATAAGCATGGTCACTTCATACTGCCCTCCCATCACCTCCTCCATATTGTAATCATGCAGGATTTTATTCCAGTTGCATTAATTTCTATATCATCAAATGTCACAAGACATGGCAGCATTTAGTCTCACCAGAAAGTGTTCGTATTCCTCTGTTACGCTCCCCACTGGTTGATCTCTGATCTCAGAGAGCTTTAGCCAGGGGTTAGCATCCATGAAGGAGCGGTCTGTCACTGCGTCAGTTTTGTTCATGTTTCTACTGGTCGTTTTTGGTTGTCCATCCGTGTTCAGACTGGTGAGGGTCCCTCTCCCTCTCTAAGCAAGTGCTGGTATGTAATTACAGTAGCCTGCCTGCATAGCTACAGGTGACAGGATGGACACATGGCCCAGGGTGTGAGTGGTTTAGCTCCCAGCGTATGGAGATTCCTTTCCATTTCTCCTGGGAACTATAAGACACCCTTGTCACCTCCCTGGTGTGTGAGTTCCAGTGTCATTTCAGGTACTCCGCATCTTGGAGAAAAATGACAGTGTCAACGCCTCGATTCCTGTCTTCCCCTTACTCCCTTCCTGTCCTGCCATGTTTGAAGATGTGTGGTGTGATTGCAGGCCCTCCTCTGTTTCTCTCTGCAGCCTCATCACCCTTGGAGATGGCTATTCATTGCGGCCATTGGCAGCTGGGATGTGGGGAAGGTAGAGGCCGCCACTGGCCCTGCTTAGAGAGTTCTCATTCCCTGCAGAGCCGCCCTGATCTCTCTTGTGTTTGTCCAACTTGGCAGTGGTGTTCTCCCATTTTTCTGCTCATTTCTGTAACTCAGACCCAGTTTGCTTTCCGCCTACTAGAGCCTTTTCAAGTTGATGCCCTGGGGCACACTTTCTTGTGTTCCAGTGTTTTGTGTGTGTACATATGTGTATATGTACAATATATATGATATATACTATTAACATATTATCTGTCACTTGAAGGAATATGGCTCACGATGAAGACAGGATTGTTACATCAAAAATCTTGATCCACTCTCTCCCAAGAGGCTGTAAAAAATCAGAATAAATATTTCTAAAACCCTGAAGGAAATTAAATAAAGAAATTATAATGTGCTGTGTGTCTGTGTGTGTTTATATGTAAATGGGGGTACCATGTCAAAATAAGAGTAAGGTCTTTTTTTTGTCAAAAGAGAAATGGAACTACATGTTTTTTGAGAGATAAAGCAATGCTACAAAGATGCAAATAAAAGCAGTAAAGACAGGTCATGGAATAGCAAACAAAAAGAAAACAAAGACATTAAAATAAAAGGTCATTTTAATAAGAGCTACATTTGTATTTCAACAATGTCACTGACATTGTTTTAAAATATATATAGGTCATTATAAACCTATTTCTCCTCAGTGGCAGTGATAATAAGAAAATAATAAAAACAGACACCATTTGCAATTACAGCAAAAATTAGAAGAATCAATATTTTAAAAATAAAATAAATTCTAGATTAAGATTGGTAAGTAAAGAAACTGTCACAGTAGTAGAAGAAAAGTAAAGTTTAATGTTGAAAATTTGTGACACATGGGATCAGTGATCAGTTTGACTATATAGAAACTAAAAATTTCTAAGTGACAAAAAACCCACTGTAACAATATGAAAACCTATTTTGTTGGCACAAATTAACTTGATCTTAAATAAAATTTCTGCATATTTTTCATGAATCCTATTTTTTCCTTATGATTAATTTTTATTTTTTAAAGATTTATTTATTTATTTATTTATTTATGATAGACACCGAGAGAGAGAGAGAGAGAGAGAGAGAGAGAGAGGCAGAGACACAGGAGGAGGGAGAAGCAGGCTCCATGCCAGGAGCCCGATGCGGGACTCGATCCCGGGACTCCAGGATCGTGGCCTGGGCCAAAGGCAGGTGCTAAACTGCTGAGCCACCCAGGGATGCCCTATGATTAATTTTTAAAGCTAAATGCAGGGCTTTACTGCTAAAGTTCATTTAATGGTTTCAGCCCAGTACTCATCTTGTAGAAATTATCTTAAATACTGATTTTGTCATTGATAGTAATAGATATTCAAAGCTAATATGGCCATCTCCCCCTTCCAGTTTCACCACCCCAGAAACTCAATGGCCCCATTGGAAGAGTACAGGTGATATTAAAGGGAAGTTTAAGTAATCTGCATTGTGCATGAATTCAGGCTCTGTTAACTCTAGCATTTGGTCCCTTACGTACACCTAAATCAGAATTAAAGAACCAGAGATCCTAAAGGAAAATCCCCACCCCCACGTGATCTTGTCATGCTTGATCATTAAATGGCCACTATGATTACATGTAATAATAGAAATAAAATGTTCTGTTTATAGATTTGTAAGTCAAGGGGTTGAAGACTGGAGCTGCCAAACTTTTTCCGAGTGGGTGGTGTCTCATCCAGGACAAGTGGTCCTCACAGTGGTGAGTTAATTTATGGTCATACTGCCAAGAAAGCAAAGATTTAGAAGTAAACCACTCTGAAGGGTACTAATATGTGTCACTTTGAAATGCATCAAAAAACAATATAGATGGTTGGATGGATATATGGACAGATGTGATAAAGTAAATATAGCAAAAATTAGTTGGAATATAGGTGGTGAGCATATGGGCATTTGTTTTATATTTCAACTTTTTTATGGTTTTAAAATTTCTTCATAATGTTGAATGAAAAGAATCATAAATTATTTTCTCAGGGATGTTCCCCTATGGCATTGTATTTGGTTTCTACTGCTGTCATTACAAAGTTACCACAAACTTAGTTGCTTAAAACAGCACATGTTTATCGTCTTGCAGATGTGTCCGATGAAGGCCTCACTGGTGTCACTGGCTAAAATCGAGGTGTTGGCAAGGCTGCATTCCTTCCCAGAGGCTCAGGGGAGAATCCCTTTCCTTATCTTTCCCAGCCTCTAGAGGCCACTGGCATGTCTTGGCTGGTGGCCCCTTCCTTCATTTTCAAAGCCAGCCCTGTTGGCACCTGTCTGACTGTTCTACTTTAATCAAACTTCCCTCTGCTCACAGCAGAAAAAGTTCTCCAGTTTTAAGGGTACCTACGATCATATTGGCCCCGCTCAGATAATCCCAAATAATCTCTCCATCTGAAGGTCTTGATTTAGTCGCAGCTGCAAAGTCCCTCTGCCATCTAATATGACTTGGTCACAGGTTCTGGAGAGAAGCATATGGGTGTCTTTCAGGGAGCCTTCATGCTGCTGATTGTTGCTTTTGTGGACCTCAAAGGAGAAAGAGAAATGAGGTATGTGTGGTAGCAAGAAAACCAGGGCACCTGGTTCTTTTGAGAAGAAGAACTTATAAAGTAGCAATTGAAGTCAAGACAGTAGAGAATTCCCCAATAGAATGTATAGAATAAGAGAAGGACAAAGAAAGACCCTAGAGGACATCTACATTTAAGGAGAAGATGAAGGAAGGGGCTCTGTGAAGGGGTCCAAAGAAGAGGCATCATGGAGCTAAGGGAGGAGAGATGGAACTGGATTAACTTTTCTCTAGAGCAAGTGGGCAGTCAGCATTTTAAAATGCTCTAGAGAGATCTGAAAACTCCATTATGTATGTCGGTGATGAGAATCCCCATGAACCTTGGGGACGGAGGTTCCCCTGCAGTGATGGAGGAAGAAGCCCCAGCTCCATGAGTTACCATTACCAAGTGTTTGTAAAACAGACTTGACTTTATTAAATTCTCTAGTAAATTTAAAAATAACATCACATCTGTTTACTGTGCCTTGCCCTACCACAACTGTCAAGTCTCTGTTAAAATAAGCTGAGATTATGGACACAAATGATGATGTCCTTTGTCTCTTGTCTCCTTTGTTATCCACTTGGCTGAATATTGATAAAATGCTTGAAGAGCCTGAGCTGAGGACTGTGGTAAGCTATTGTCTGCAAAGGCAGCAAAAGGATAATGAATCATTGCGGACATTTCTGTGATTTACCAGGCACATACTCAGATCTGCTCTATGAAGAAGAGATCATCCCAGATCCCTGGTTCTCCAAAAATCCCTGGTTCTCTAACAATAAGAAGCACTCTGTCATGTCTCCAGAAGTACTTCATTATAGGCTTGAACTTACATCATTGAACAGACTTTGCCAAAATTTCTCCCCTTTCTGCCCTGCCTACTGCTAATTTCCCATCCCAGCATACAATTGACAATTACCCTTTTTCCTGCACTTCTGCATATGGACTAGGAGCCTTCTCCCAGCAGACATCTGTGGGGAAGTAGGGATGATAACTGGCCCATATGTTTGGCCACTGAAAGCATTTCAGTGTGGATTTATCCAGGCTAGAGCAACTTCCAGCTGTCTAAGGAAAGAAAGATCTGGTTCGCAGCCCACCTCACCAGAACCCACACTGACGCAGCCTAGCGAGGGGACTCTTCCCCTTGGATGCTCTCTCCGGAGACTGAATCCTGAATAAATGCCTCAATCATAGCAGTGCAGTGGCGCTTGACTGGACTCCTCTGTGATGTGGCCTTGGTTCCTGCCCACTTCCCAAGCCGTGGTCTCCAGCCTCCTGTTGATCTGCCACATCTTTTAAGAAAGTCAGAGTTAGTTTCTGTTGCATGCAGCCAAAAACACTGATGCATCAGGTTTCACATCCTCTACCCTTTTACCTTGTTCTAGGTCCCATCGCTATGCCTCTTATTCCAAAATTATTCTATGCTAATTATTCCAGAATGTATTTCTTTATAGCCTTACTTACATGTTTCTTAGGCACTTCAAATTCATTAAATCCCCAAACACATCCACTGTGCCCCTTCCCCTCCAGCATGCTCTTCTTCAGTAGCTACTATCCTCGTGACTGAAATCACAGTTCACCCAGTTACGGGCCAGAAACTTGCAAGCCTCTGGACATATTCCCCTTCACTGACTGCCAATGTGACATTAAACCATGGGCCTTCTGGCATACATGGAGAGAGTGAGCATCAAAAAGTGGATCAAGTAACAGAAGTCATATAGAGTTCCTGAAAAATTATGATTACAGACAACATATTCTAGGAAAAGTATTTCTGGGGTCAGCTGAGCACACAGTCCTAATTTCATGCTGGGGTTTTTCTTCCATTATTACTGTCCCAAGTTATGAGTCTTATGATGATAGCTAAGAATATCAGATTTCTTAAGTAGAAATATTGGGGGTGAATATATTTCAATTTACTAAAAAAATAAGGCCACATAAGCATTAATAAAATTCAGTGTCTGACTCTCAAATGCATTCAAATGTGTAAGCTCTCTTTCACATACACTCACACACACATATCATGAAAACACCTGATTTAATTTATAGTTGATTCTTCAGTTCTCATCTTTATATCTTTTTTAGAGCCAGATCATGTTTTATAATGATTGCATCAAAAGTTTTGTGAGTTCTCATTCAAGAGCAGAGTTGGAAAAAGTCCATGCTGGTATGATTGGTCACCTAGAGGAGACTGCAGCACTGGTGGTGCTGGATACTAGTAACACTCGCACAAAAGCTGTACTGACAGCACTGCTTACGCTTTGCGTTCACTGCCGAGACATAGCAAGAGATTTACTGCTGAAAGGTGTCTCCGGTGTGGGAGATTTTGAGTGGACAAGGTAAGTAGATCTCAATTATAGCTCCACCTGAAATAACTCCTCACATAGCTTCCTCTTGATAAATTTATTATCCACCTCCAATTATGTGAAACTTGCATTTCAATTTTCTGGGATTTATAGACATTCTGGGCAAATGGTGTCAGTTTGAGTACCCTGTGCCTGTGTTTTCTTTTCCACTGTGCTCCCTTCATTGTAACTTCCTTCTGTATCACATTCCTGAGTGGGCCTCACTTCTCACCATTCAGCCAGGCTGCAGCATCCAGTGTGTAGTGAGAGCAGCTCCCCCCAGGCCTCCATTCTCCTTCTTCCCTGGGTGCGGTCCATTCTGGAACTCACTAAGCTGGGAAACAAAACTGAGAACGTTTGTGGCCAGTTCTCCACCTCAGAGCCCCATTATCCTCCCAGGAATCTGATATATATATATATATTCATAAATACATATTTCATACATGAAACACCACACAGCCACTGACCCTGGGGAGGAGAGCACACTAAGATTCGCACAAGAAATGTGAAGCTTTAAACTTCTGAGTTACTTTTTCCTAAAGATGCCTCTGTTCATGGAAAAATTAACTGTCCTGCCTATATAAGGTCTTTGATTCTCAAGAAAGTGAATTTTTAAGAAATTCTGCTATCGTATAAATTTCCTTATTTTAGATGTGACAATTTCCTTTAAACTCTAGAGAAGATGGAGCAGAGAGGCTGATGTATTTAACACCATTTGAGTATATTTTACCAGAATACTTCATATTTGATATGTATTTCCATGTCCATTTTTCTGCAGAAGTATAACTATACCATTTTTAATTGCCAAAGAAATATGCCATCTGGATGAATCATCACCCAAAAATTCAATATGTCATTATTACTTTCTAGTAACTCTTTTTTAAAGTGAAAATGAAAGGTGGAAGAGCCTATATAGAAAAGTAAAGTAGAGAAGACATGACTAATAAAATCTGTGAGCATCTATGATTCTAGGGCTAAATTATGCTAGAGTCCCTCAAGACCTCATAGGGAACTCACAGGACACTGCAAAACATGTTAACCTTTTGAGGGGCTCTGAGGGATATGCATCATATGCCAGACACCAAGCAAACTGGGCTCAAAGTAGTTGACAGGTGAGGTGCCTGGGACAGGAAATGTGGATAATGATAAAGGAGGTCAAAGATACCAACTTCCAGTTATAAGATAAATAAGTTCTGGGGATGTAATGGATAGCATGGCAACTATAATTAATAATACTTCATTGTATACTTGAAGGGTACTAAAACAGTAGATCTTAAATGTTATCACAAGAAAAATAAATTCATAAGTATGTGAATGATGGATGTTACCTAAATATATTGTGATCATTTCACAACAGGTGTATATATCATCATCATGTTGTATGTACACCTTAAACTAACACAAAGGTATAGGTCAATATCCAGGGGAAGGAATGCACACTATAAAGCTCCAGCTGGGTCACAAGTTTTGCTCATAGCCTTACAGAGAAGAAAATTTATGGTGAGCCACGCGATGCACAGGGTTCATAAAATAAATACCACTATTTTGTTTGATATTAAGAACAACTAGCATTTCTCTCAGCTCTCCTTGTAGTAAGGATCCTGGTTATAATGAACAATGTAAACCATAATAAATTTCAAAGGGATGATTCTGGTATAAATCCTCTATTTGTGCGGCATACATCACAGCAGAGCATCAGGATTCAGCCAGACTGCTTTCCTCACAGGGAAAGTGCTCACATGCTTGTAGTATTTGGAGTTCTGAAGTTTCACTGATGAGAACTATCCATAACTCTTTTCAGTTTGTTGTAATTTTTTAGTCAACATTCCATTTTTAATCTTCATTATGTTTCTACATGTGAAAAAATTAAGAATGATTTTGCCCAAATACTATGTGCACTTAAAATATTCTTTTCAGACATTTGCAGTATAAATGGAATGACAAGCAGAAGTTGTGCTATGTGTCCCAAGGAGATGCCAGCTTCACGTATGGCTATGAGTACTTGGGATGTACTCCTCGGTTGGTTATTACACCCCTCACTAACAGATGCTGGCTCACCCTCACGGGAGCTCTGCTCTTGAATCTTGGAGGCTGCCCCACTGGCCCCGCTGGCATGGGCAAAACAGAGACTGTCAAAGATCTAGCCAAAGTAAGTGGTTTCTATATCCAGAATACTATTTTTTTTATATAGTCACACAAACTTCCAATGGTATCTTAAATTTATACTATTCCTGCTATTAAGATGTTCCTAACATTTAACAAACACCTGACCACATTCACTAAGTCATGTAATTCATCTGTTCATTTTGAAATGTCTGCTCTGTGCTGGAACTTGGGACCTTGGCAGGGCCAAGTATGCTTTGTGCGACTTGGTATTACACTGTGCTAACTGATGTGCCAGCAGCAGTGTCGTCCCATTCATTGGGGGTGATTAGTCTGTTCTGAGCCACACACAGACTTTTACTGTTACCTAGTCTTTGTGATTAATAGCAGTGTGTGTGTATGTGTGTGCATGCATGTGTGTGTATGTGTGTGCGTGCGTGTGTGTGTATGAGAGAGAGAGAGAGAGACAGAGACAGACAAGTAACTGATGGAAGGGAAGGATGTAGTTTGACGTTGCTGCAATGACATCATTGAAATGCTTTTTTCTTAGTTTTTTATCCGTTGATGTTTTAAAAACATGACTTTAGTGTTCCATGTATTAATCAACTTAGCTAATAGTGTATGTGCATTTATGTACCCTACCAAGTTTTGTGAGTTTCTTTTTGTTTTGTTTTGTTTTGTTTTGTGAGTTTCTAAATTTGGTATGCAGTTCATCTGTATATTGCAACGTTTTCTCAAAAGAGTAAAGACATTTTATTACTATGAAGTTTTAGCATTAATATTTTGCATCATAATGCAAGAGATATATTAAAATAATATTTTGTTTCTCAGTCCTTAGGCAAACATTGTGTGGTCTTCAACTGTTTTGAGGATTTGGATTATAAGGTAAAAGCTTATTCATATATATGCAGGAAAAAATATGTACTTAAATAATTCGTTGAGGACTGAAAGACAAGACAAATATTTCTCTTAGACATTAAGTATTAACAGAACAATAAATGCTATTGATTCTTCTAAATTAATAGAATAGAAACAAGAGTATAATAGAAACTTAAAACATTATGCAATTTGTTTTCATGCAACTGAACTACTACTTAAGACAGTGGTTTTCAAACTTTTTGACAGGGGATTTTTCCAAACACGTGGAACATGTGGAACATGTGGAACATGAATATATTAAAAAAACTAAGAGTACTGCTCTATTAATATAAATTTATTTTATAATTTCTGACACTATACTTTTATTTACTGAAAGGTAATCATTAAGAACAATGAGGCTATTATAATTAGCACAAAAATTTGAGTCAGAGCTTGTATCGATGATTACAATTTAAGAGTTTTTTTTGTTTTTGGCGGGACATTCCATAAGACATAAAATTCTGAAATACTTCTTGAAATGTCATGTACGTTAGTGCCTGTCACAAATTTACTTGAAGTTTCAAAACACTCCCATTTATTTAGTCTTGCACGTTAAGTTCAAACTATTTACCTTTTATTATGGTCATTTTCTTTGCAGTTAAAAAGCACATTACCTGTGAGATCCTGCATTTTCCATTTGTGCTCACTTAGCACATTAAAAATATCAATAAACATAAATAAGCTGTTTGCATTAGTGTTAAGATATAGAGTTTCTTGTTTCCTCCCTGGGAACTGCCTTCCAGTGGGGTCAGAAGGGCTGAGAGTAGCTGTAGTGCCTGCCCGCCGGCAGATATTTTAATGCAAAGCTTTTTAGAATAATAATTAATGTCTCCCAAAACCCCCAAGATAAACAGAATATCAAAATGTTCAATAAAGACAGGACCTGATTCCTGCAGCCAGTGGGATAAACCAGCCTGTCTTAGGACCCAGGGGCTCTGGCATGGACTCTCCATCCCCTCTGCACCAAGTGCACGCATTCCCTGGCCTGTATTCATCCATGCGTGTTATGTTTGGCCTGCAGTGTTTCCGGTTGTTTCAACTGCTAGCATTTAGGATTCAGTAGGTTCCAGAACTGGAACCTCCTCTGAACGCTGAGAGCCAGGCAGTGCTGCCCTGCACCTGCCATGGACGCAGGCCGAGCACCACACATGGCCCTGTGGTAGAGGCCATGGCTGGGGATGGTGTGCACTTGCCCTGGAAAAAATGAGGGAATGCAGAGGGCCCTGGCCCAGTGAAAGCCTTCTCCTGTATAATCATTGTTTTCAAGATAATGGGAAAATTCTTCTTTGGAGTGGTCCAGTCGGGAGCATGGTGCTGTTTCAGTGAGTTCAATCGGATTGACGTGCAAGTCCTCTCCGTGATTGCGTCGCAGATACTAACAATCAAGGTCGCAAAAGACAGCTATTCTGTCAGGTACTGGCTGAATACATTTGGTTACTTACTATTAAATATTTGTTCTACAGTAAGTGTTGGGTTTTTGTTTTTTTTTCCCCTAAGTACAGACCAAAAGGAATGACATCTTGGTTGTCTCTTTCGCTTGGCAAGTAATGTGCAAACATATGTAACTAACGTTCGTGCCAGCCTGAGGGTGTCCAGGCTCCTGCCCAACTTCGGAACAGTCTTCTAGGCCACAGTACAAAGTTGCAAATATAGCCACTTGCTTTTACTTTGGAGTTTAAATTCTCTTAGTACCTTTCCACGTTAGGACATTTCACTTGAAGAAACCGAAGTCTTTTCTTTAATTCTACATCTTAAAAAAAAAAAATTATAAGGGTTCCTGGGTGGCTCAGGAGGTTGAGCATCTGCCTTCAGTTCAGCTCATCACCCCAGGGTCCTGGGATCAAGCCTTGCGTTGGGCTCTCTGCTCAGCGGGGCGTCTGCTTCTTTCTCTCCTTCTGCCCCCCTGCTGCTCATGCTCTCTCTCACACTTTCTCAAATAAATAAATAAAATAATTTTTGAAACTTATACTAGCCACACATCTGACTGAAGCCCCCTCTTATCCTATTACTCTTAATTAATATATGCTTTATTTTAAAAAATCCTGTAAAAATAATATTTGTACGTTAGGATTACTAAAATTTACTAATCTGAGCAAATCTTTTTTTCTTCAGATAAATTCAGGAACTCACATGATTTACTTTATGGGCATAATTGAATTTCTGTATTTAAATTTTCTATTATAATCTATTATTTCTTTTTTTATTTTTAGTTTTTTAAGTAATCTCTACACTCAGTGTGGGGCTCAAACTCACCACCCCAAGATCAAGAGCCACATGCTCCTACAACTGAGCCAGACAGGTGTCCTTCCCCCCCATATTTCTAATTCAAGCTAATGGACACTTACTTCTGGCTTTACTCTCAAGGATTTTGTTCCAGCTGTTAGAATCAATGTTGCAAGGCCTTACAAGTCACAGGAGGCCACATGTCACCAGTTCTTCACCACACCTCAGTATCTGCCAGACTTTATTCTGTCCAGAGAGTCCTCAGCTTTTGTTCCCAGTGTTCTTCCTTTCCAGCTTTGACCACCCTCATTGGTATCAGCTATCCATAAAGTCACCAGAGGATTTCTTGCCATGTTCCCTACCTCTGGTGCTGACAAGAGGATACTGATCTCCTGGGCTGCATTTCATGCTGACACAAGAACTCTATGCCATGGCCACTCTTTGCTCCATGGTGTCACTCAGGGAGAACTCTGTGTCCAAGGGTCTCCTTGGGTTCTCTTCTCTGTTCAGTAAGTTCATTCAGGTGGGTGCCTTCCAGTCTTAGGTCCCACAAACTCTTTAGATATGATCAAATAAATATGAAACTTCAGAGCACCTATGTGATGAAGTTGGGTAAGCAGCTGACTCTTGATTTTGGCTCAGGTCTTGATCTTAGGGTCATGAGTCTGCTTGGGATTCTGTCTCCCTCTCCCTCTGCCCTTCCCACTCATGTTCTCTCTCTCTCTCTTTCAAATAAATAAATAGATGATAGATAGATAGATAGATAGATAGATAGATAGATAGATAGATGATAGATAAATATTTTTTTTAAAAAAAATATGAACCCCAGCAGGGCTCACAACTTTGGCTCAAGATGACCCTCTTCTTTCCTCTCTTAAAATTGTTTTTCCCTCAGCATGTGCTGTTTGGATTTAAATATAGCACAGTCTTAGGAACATTCCCAAACTCATTTATTGTTTTAACATACTTTGACTTAAAGAAAACAATTCTCTTAGTAATGAATATTATAATGGATGGGAGAGGAAGTTTTTTCCTTTACCTTCCTAGGTTCTTTTGGCTGATCCATTAAGTAAATTGGCATCAGATAAATTAATAGGATAAAAATTTAATTGCCTACATACATGAACCTCACACAGACATGAGAGGTTCAAAGATAGGCAGTTAAGGTTTGTATGCCATGCTGAGTTAAACAGAAGTGGAAAGAGGTCTGGGGCTTCAAAGGGAAGGAAAAGAAGTCACAGGGAGATAGGAAGAGCAAATGCTTGGTGAACAAATATTTGTACCCTGCAGATACAGCAGGGCACAGAGAGGAATTCAAATGCACAGGCCTTCTGAGCTCCTTACAGCTTACGATGCCCAGCCTATATTCTCTGTGGTTGTCTCTGGTTATAGCTGTCTTTCTGGACCTGGCCCTTAAATTCTTAGAAGCAATTAAAGAGGAGGTAAAGTTTTGGGGGCCTTCATTGTCTTCAGCTTAAAATTATCCATATAATGAAGTGGCACATTTTGGAGGTTACTCATTCTGAACCCTTTCCAATGTCTTATAGGTTTGTACTGGAAGGAAAAGAAATTCGTATCAATATGTCTTGTGCAATATTTGTTACTATGAACCCTGGGTAAGTATTGGTTAATCTGTGCCAGGAGTAGGGACAAGTCAAAATCCTTTTCTTGGTTCTTAGCCACAAAGCAGTTGTCTGTCATTGTAATCAACCATCCACCACCACCACTGGAATCTCTCCTCTACTTGCACACTTATAAATAGCTACAGCTCCGTCTTTATCCACTTGGATGGTCCTCATAGTAAGTGTCTGACTGAGGGACGTTTTCACTTCAATAGCCAGAGAGAAAGGAAGAGGTCAGCCATTTGTCACATTGAAAACACAAGAAAGCAGAGAGTAGCAGAAGGAAGGGAACATGGTGGTCACAAGGAGTGGAGACCAGGCAAGCTCAGTAAACACCCATCCATGGAACATGGTGATAGGGCCTCAGCGAACTCGTATGAGGAGCACTATGGGAGGAAAGGTAGTGGAGGAGGAAGATCTTGAGAGGAAGAGTACAATATAAGTCATCTTATACTCTTATTTTCAACTGAAGGTCGCATAGAAAACTAATAGGATTATTTGGGGAAAACTATATTGTGTGTTTTCTCATCAGAAAAACTGAAAAACTGCATTTTCTTTTTTCATTTTTCTTCCCCTTATAAGGTACAAAGGTCAAGTAGAACTCCCAGATAACTTAAAATCTCTGTTTCGCCCAGTGGCAATGATGGCTCCCCATTATCAAATGATTACTGAAATAATTCTGTTTTCATTTGGTTTCAAATCGGCAAAATCACTCTCTGGAAAGCTAGTTAACATTTATGAATTAGCTAGCAAACAGCTCTCACAACAGGTAACAAACTGCTTTTCTCAAAACGAAGATGATTATAGAAAACTTTAAATAAGACCTTTCTGGTATTGGAATAGCGATGACCTGGGAAAATAATGGAGCTAGAATCCTATCAATACTTCTAATTGGCAAGCCAACGTGGATGTGAGGTGATACGTAAAATCAGTCAGGGTTTCAAGCCTTTCCTCCAGGACCTGGAGAGAATAATGGAATATATGCTGTGTTAAATTATGGGCTACTTTCTCCTTACAGGGAAGTTAACCTCTATAGCAGTGGCCCTCACACTTTATTGTGCTTCAGGATAATTGGGGGGATCTGTTAAAATACAAATCACTGGACTTCTTACCAACTTTTTGACTGTCTAGGGTGGCCCTTGATAATTTGCTTTTCTGACAGGTTTTTGACAGTTCCTGATGTTGCTGATCTCAGTACCACATTCTGAAAATGATTATTATGGGATATGTCAGCTTAATGAGTATTTGTTTATGGTCCAAGATAGTTTGGCCAACCAACCACACTACCTCCAAAGTGTTCCTTTTTTTCATGTTCTTTCAATTCATATCTCCATTTCAGAGAAAACTTAATTTAAATACTAATAGTTTTTAACAGCTTTAATACTTGTTACTCTCTCTTTAAGAAGACTTAGGGGCACCAGTTTGGGAGGGAAGTGAGGGCATTGGAAGCAAAATGCAGACTTTCTTAAGTTACATCGTAGTCTGTCTCCACAGTGTACATGATTAGGGATCTAACTAGGGTAGGATGTGCATTTATTTCCAAGTTGTCCAATTTTTCCTTCAGAAATTTAATAACTCAGATATTTTAATTCTTATAGGCTCATTATGATTTTGGCTTGAGGTCTCTGAAGACAGTTTTAATAGTGGCTGGAAAGAAGAAACAGGAGTTTAAGTGGTGAGTTGAATTTTTGAAATACTAGGTCAAAGAAAGTTATAAACAACACAGGGAAAATAATTTGTAAAATTCTAAGTAACAATGACAAGATAAAACGGATCTCCCAGAGTGTCACAGTAAAATACGGTAAAAGTGTTTAAGAATGTAAAAGAAGAGGAAGAAAAAAAAGCACAAAATCCTTGGGTACTTTTTCCCCAAAGAATCTATTATTTTTTAAAAATGTGTCTTACCTTTATATAATAAAAGATACACAAGAGTAAAAGACCTTATTTAAAAGAGCAGTAATTGGGATCCCTGGGTGGCGCAGTGGTTTGGCACCTGCCTTTGGCCCAGGGCGCGATCCTGGAGACCCGGGATTGAATCCCACATCGGGCTCCTGGTGTATGGAGCCTGCTTCTCCCTCTGCCTGTGTCTCTGCCTCTCTCTCTCTCTCTCTCTCTCTCTCTCACTGTGTGTCTATCATAAATAATAAATAAAAGTTAAAAAAAATAAAAGAGCAGTAATTTAATGAGAAATGTAAAACCCGTATGAAGAAAACATGGGTAAAGGACACAAATCAAAATATGAATAAATGAAATAATATACCATGTGCTTAATATCATAACATCTTAAAGGGCTTAGCAATCATAAAGAGTTAAAGACACTAAACATTCATTTATGAATGGGAATGTATCCCAGTGAATATACCAAAAGACATTATTTATTTATTTCTAGGGAGGTACATTCTTTTTTTTTAATTTTTTTTTAATTTTTATTTATTTTTTATGATAGTCACACACAGAGAGAGAGAGAGAGAGAGAGAGAGAAAGAGGCAGAGACACAGGCAGAGGGAGAAGCAGGCTCCATGCACCGGGAGCCCGACGTGGGATTCGATCCAGGGTCTTCAGAATTGCGCCCTGGGCCAAAGGCAGGCGCCAAACCGCTGTGCCACCCAGGGATCCCGGGAGGTACATTCTAAAGTTAACATAGAAAGGGGTGCCTGAGTGGCACAGACGGTTAAGCATCCAACTCTTGGTTTCAGTTCAGGTCATGATTTCATGTGTCATGATCTCATCGGTTGTGAACTTGAGCACTACATCCAGCTCCACGCCCAGCAAGGAGTCTGCTTGAAATTCTTTCTCCCTCTGTCTCCCCCAACTCACATTCATGTGTGTGACCTCTCTCAAATACTCTTTAAAAAAAGAAAGATAAACAATTAAGACTAGCTAGAAACATACTAACAAATGAAAGCAATGAAGGAGAAACATCCCTTTAAGCATTGAGACATGTTATCTAGAGCTTCATTAGTTTTAGCACTGGCTGGTTTATGAGCAGAGAGGCAAGCCATCAGGCTAGAACAGAAAGCCCAGAGGCAGGACTGCTCCCACTGGGCATATAGTCTGTTGTCAGCTCTGAGGCAGGAACAGACTAACAGACTTTTCAGTGAGTGCCCTTGGGAAAACTAAACTGCCGTGTGCACAAAGATCCGGTTGGAACCATAGTCCATGTTATTTACCTGGAGAAGAGGATCAAAAAAGGGCTAAAAACATAAAAGTATTTGAAGAAACAAAATGTCCTTTATATCCTTGGACTATGGAAGAATTTTTTTTAAAAAAAGATTTATTTATGAGAGAGAGACAGGGAGAGAGAGAGAGGCAGAGACACAGGAGGAGGGAGAAGCAGGCTCCATGCCGGGAGCCCAACGTGGGACTCAATCCCGGGACTCCAGGATCACGCCCTGGGCCAAAGGCAGGCACCAAACCGCTGGAGCCACCCAGGGATCCCCTATGGAAGAACTTTTATTTTTATTTATTTTTTCTTTTTGGAAGAACTTTTAAACTAAAACTCAAAATCTAAAAGCCATAAGGGAAAAAAGTGATAATGGTTAAGAAAACACTGTTTGTGAAGTCAGGAGATGAATGATGGACTGAGAAGGATATTTGCAGCCTCCGGTGCAGTGAGATAGCTCATTCTCAACACATTCAGGACCCTCTAGAAAATGAGGGGGAGAAATAAATTGTATGGAAAATGGGCAAAGAACAGTTCTCAGAAAAAGAAACATAAAAGTTCTTTAAATATTTGAAAATATACTCAATCCCACTCCTAATAAGAGAAATATACATTAAAAATTACATTGAAATGTTGTCTTTCATGAGATGGGTGAAAATATGAAAGTTAGATGGGACTTTGTTGATGAAGCTATAGGGAAGTGGGTGTTTTCATTATTGCTAAGGGGTGGAGCTGTATTCATGTATTGCCTATTAAACATTAAATGAAAAAAATGAATATGTTGTAAAAGGACATACCAATATACATTTACCTGAATTTGGAAAATGCAGTAAATGTTACAGATTGTTTGTGGGGACATAGATATAGCAGCAAGTACAGAACATTGTGTGGGAGAGGAGTCAGGGATAATGTGTTCCTCTACTATAGTAGTTTATTTCTTAAATATAAAGGAACTAAGGCACATACTGTAAAATGGCCTGTATAAGATTGATGGCAAGTAAATGGGTATGTGTTATGAAATGCTTTATTACTGGGGAGCGTTAGAGACAGAAGTATAAGAATCAGCTTCCTGACATCCTCAGGTCCTCCTGTGTTTCCAACAGGCATCAGCTGGTCATTTGTATGAGCACCTGCTCCATTGAGAGAAAGACCCTGATTGGTGATGTCCATGTTCAGTTCTCCCAGGTGCCTGGGCAGGGCCTCCCATGTCCAGAGCGCTGTCAGTCTGTCTGCCACCGTGAGGAGCAGCCAGTGGTCTTCTGTCTTTGCTTACCTCCCTCCTTCCTCCAAAGCACCATGCAAAGCATGTACTTGTGTGAACCTGATTGCTGTATAAAGAGGATGGGGGAATTTTTATCAGAGTAAAGCACAGCAAGCAATTTAAAAATTAATAGTAGACTTTTGCTTTTTAAAAATCCTTTGGCCCTCCCGACACCAAAAATTATCATTATTGTTCTTGTCTGTCCTCTTCCTTTCTGTCCCTTCCTCTCCCTCTGTTCCAGCCCATTCCTCCTCAGGCTTCTGGCTTTGCCTCCCAGGCACACAGAGATGCCACAAGTGTCCCTCATTTCTAGATGCATTCTGGATGCACTTCTCCTTTCTCCTGCCTTTTCTGTCTGGAGTGTATTGTCAGAGCCTAGACTAACTCCCAAAGAGTTTTGAGGTGCTTACATTTGAAAACTAATAAAAGACCGTGTATTTGTTTTGTAGGGCTGCCATAGGAAGTTATGACAGATTTGACGTCTTAAAACACCAGAAGTATATTTTTTCATAGTACCTGAGGCCAGAAATCTGGAATAAGGTTGTGGGCAGGACTGCTGTCCCTGCAGAGACCCTGAGGGAGATTCCATCCTGTCCTCCAAAACCCCTGGGCTTTTGGGCACATTACTTCAGTGTTTGCCCATCTTCTGTGTGCCTCTGTGTCTCTCTGCCTCACTCTCAGTAGGAATCTGACTGCACTTAAATCTGGATGATCTGGGATAACTCAAGATTCTTCGTCAATCCATCCTCTGTTGTATCAGATAATATTCACAGGTTCCAGGGATTAGCAAGTGAATAGATATTTTGGAGCCATTTTTGTCTGCCTCCCACAGGCAGCTTCTCTGGGTCCCAGGAAGGAAGTTTCCCTATCTCCTCTTTTGTTTAGAAAAAAAAAAAAAAAAAACTGCCCAACAGCTGGAATCCTAGGATGTCCTTGGTAGAAACGATTTGCTTTGTCAACAGCTAGAGAATTAATACGTCTTCAGGTAAACACTTGAAGCGCTTACAAATCCTACCATGGTACTGAGCCATGAAGTGGGTCTTAACTAACTCTGAAGAACTGGTAGGTATCTTGAAGGCAATCATAATGGGTAACAAAAATAAAAAGGTTTAATAAATATCCTTTTCTTGAATTTTAGTTGACATTAATCTAGAGCTTTCATTTTTTATTCTTAAATTATAACAGATATTCCCCACGATAATCTCAGATGCTAACTCCCAAATTATTGTTTTGTAGAACTTTAGTCAAGTCTTATCTTTGTATCTAATAGCAAAGTATAACATTATTATTATATATAAACTATGATAACTCCCAGATATAGTAGTCATTTCTTTCTTTTTTAAATTTGTTTTCCTAATGTAAAGCAGATCTGTCTTGAGTAAAGACCTCACTGACACCCAGCTGCTGTCTGAACTTGCTCCCTACCTCTTAGATGGTTGAAAAGATTAATGAATTATTTAAAGAATTAAAGTGCCCAGTGCAGAGAGAGTTCATGGTTTCTCTTCATCAGGAAATGCAGAGATGTGCAGGGTGTGACTACTTTTATGAAGGTTTCAATTTGATTTACAGGATCAGTTCTGTGGCATAACTTTGGCCGTGGTTCCCAGCAGCATAGCCTACAAGCCTACTTCTCTGGCTTGCCTAGAGATTTTTAATGAATTATGTTATTTTTCATCTGATATTAGGCTGAATTCATTTTGTTATTTGCAGATAAAACACTTTACTGATACAGTGCCCACCCCTGACTCAGTGACTGGGAAGTAGGATGACCCTGACTGTCCGACCAGCCCAGGCCCATCTCTGGACGAGACCCAGAGTCACCTCACCCACACTACATAGCTGCTTTGCAGTGAGGAATAGGAGGAAGGGCTGTTGGGAGAGCCACCTGTTCCAAGGAATAGTAATTACCTTCAGTGTCAACAAAGCATACTTGCTAACTTGTTCTTTATCTTTCTTTTCTTCCTCCCTTAAAGTAACACCGATGACCATCTTTCTGAAACAGATGAGACTCTGATCATTATTGAGGCTATAAGAGAAGCTAGTCTGCCAAAATTTCTCCCTAAAGATGCCCCACATTTTGAAAAGATTATACGAGATTTTTTTCCTGGAGCAACAGTTTCAACAGCAAATCAAATTGCCTTGGAGGTAAGATTTTTGAAAACCATCACAAATGATTTAGATGTGGAATATTAATTAAGATAAGAAACTTGATGTAAGTAAAAAATGCTGTCGTTCTTTCTGAAATACTCTACTCGTGTTACAATTGGAGGAATAAAAATACCCGGAGATTGATTTCCCTTTGGAGAAAAACAGCATCTCAGCCTCAGTCAGGAAAGGCTCCTACTTATTTTGTTCCCTGGTTTTCTCATCTTTCCACTGAGAATGACGATGTTTTCTCTTTCTACTTTAAAGGGATACTTTAAGGATCAAATTAGATCAGAATTACAAAATGACTTCACAATATAAAATTTTGTGGTCATAAAAAATAACATATTAAGACTGTAGAGACCTTTATTTCCTCTTATACCTGCCACCTTGTGGCCATTGCCACAGTCTCAGTGGGGTCTCAACTTCTCTTGTGGTAGGAGGAGCCCCACCACCTTGTGGCCTATGGTCACACACTTCCAGGTGGCCTCCAGCACTGCTTTCCTAACATACCTGTGACCACACCAACAGAGCCACTGTGGGACAAACCCGGAGTCAGGTCCCCTGACTCATATAATACAGCCCTTTACAGTCTGGCCAGACCAGCTTTACCTTGCCAGTGTGTCGTCCTCCCTCCTGCCTCTCCACTGCAGGTTTTTCCCTGTCCTCTGGCTCCAGCTGGGCCTTTATCAGCTATCAGGCTATCAAACCCATACATTCCTTACTCTGGGACCCTGCCCAATTTTTTAAAACACTGTTTTTCTACTTTATTTTAAAATATATGGTTTATGTAGCTTATAGTTCAAAAAGCTTTGTAATTATTCTTTCTTTAAATATAGATATAAGCTGGGGGCACTTGGGTGGCTCAGTCAGTTGAGCATCTTGCCTTCAGCTCAGGGTTCTGGGATCGAGTTCTGCATAGGGCTCAGCAGGGAAGCTTCTCCTTCTCCCTCTGCCCCTCCCCACCATCTGCTCATGCTTCTTCTCTCTCTCAGGTAAATAAATAAAACCTATAAATAAATAAATACATGCATACCTACATTAATAAAAGTATAAGCTCAACGTGGATGGAACTAGAGGGTATTATGCTGAGGGAAGGAAATAAGTCAGTCAGAGAAAGACAATTATCATATGATTTCACTCACATATAGAATTTAAGAAACAAGATAGGATCATAGGGGAAGAGAATAAAAAATAAAACATAGTGAAATCAGAGAGGGAGACAAACCATAAGAGACTCTTAATCATGGGAAACAAACAAACTGAGGGTTGCTGGAGGGGGTGGGGGGAGAGGGCCGCTGGGGGATGGTCATGAAGGAGGGCATGTGATGTGATGAGCACTGGTGGTTATATAAGACTGATGAATCACTGACCTCTACTTCTAAAATCAGTAGTACACTATATGTTAGTTAACTGAATTTAAATTTAAAAAAAGAAAGAATAAATAAATAAAAGTATAAGCTATGTGCATAACCTCATACCCAACAGGCAGAAAACACATAATATTTTTAGGCACATATGAAGCGCTCAGCAAAAGATCATCATTTATTAGGTTATGTAGGAAGATTTGGGAAAATTTCCCTTGAAAACGAGGCCAGGAGTTTTATGACAGGATAGTTCTTTTGCATTTCTGGTCTAGTTAGATTTCATATCCCTTCTAGGATCAATTCCATTGAACTAGATAGTATTCCCATTGCTTTCAAATGTTAGAATGCAGTCTGGGGATCTGAGTAAACCACTCTTATGACTCCTGTGGTTTCTTGTTTCTGTTGTTGCTCTCCCGATCATGCCTTATTTTCTTAATTTGGGTTTTCTTCTTTACATAAATGATTTAGAAGTTTATATAATTGTTTTCTTCAAAAAACCAGCTTTTTATTATTTAACACATCTTTTTAAATTCTAACCCTTTAATATCCATATTAATATTTTTTAATATCTTCTTTTATTCCTCTGGGTTTTATGTTTTCTCCCCAGCTGTCTAAGTAAGATATCTAATTTATTATTTTTTACTAATGTAAGTTTATAAAACAAGGGACACCAGGGTAGTTCAGTCGGTTAAAGCATCTGGCTCTTGGTCTCAGCTCAGGGTTTGGTCTCAGGGTTATGGATTCAAGCCCCATGTTGGGCTCTGCACTGGGTGTGGTAAAAAACAAAAAAACAACAAAAGAAAACTATATAAATTTGTCCAAGCACTGCTTTAGTTATATAGGCTATACGTTCAGGTAGGTAGGGTTTTCCTAAGTATTTTTTTCCCAGAAATTTGATAGGATAGTGAGTACTTCCTTTTTTTCCTAAGTGTTCCTTTAGGACAGAGGTTTTTCATGCTTTTAATTTCCAGGTAAAGGATCTTTTTGTTTTCTGATTTTGTTACCGATTTCTAGTCTTACTGAATTGTGATTAAAGAATATTATCGGGCAGCCCGGGTGGCTTAGCAGTTTAGCACCGCCTTCAGCCCAGGGTGTGATCCTGGAGCCCTGGGATCGAGTCCCACATCTGCCTCCCTGCATGGAGCCTGCTTCTCCCTCTGCCTGTGTCTCTGCCTCTCTCTCTGTGTGTCTCCCATGAATAAATAAATAAAATTTAAAAAAAAAAGAATATTATCTTTGTTATTTTTCTAAACTGTGTAATTTGGACTTTTTAATGGCCCAATATACAGGTAATTTTTCTTAATAGGCCCTATGCACATGAAAAGAAAGATATTTTCTCTTATGGATTGCAAATATAAAACAAAGTTCAGTTTATCTCCATTTGTTATGGCTGTTAAATTAGCATTTGTTAAGTGGAGCACAGGGTATGGGCTGGTGAGCCACAGTTCAGCCGGACACCATGGGATGCTGAAAAGAGATGCTTATTCCTCATGGGTCCTGGAGGAGGTACACAGGGAGGACAAGGCAGGGTACAGGCAAAGAAACACATGCCTCCATCAGGGTCCACAGCTGGAGTGCTTTGAGGTTCCCATGCTAAGGCTGGATTGGTCAGTTCAAACCAAACAAAGCAGGACTTTGGTAAGTTCCATGCAGGTTCCAGGGGAGTGTGTAAGGGGAAGGCCCGGGGAGGCGGTGAGGTTCTACCAGCAGTTTGCACCTGCTCGTGACTCCACCACCTGCCATCCCAGGCCTGTGCTGGTGTGAGGGGCTGAGGTCGTGGTTTCAAGTCCCTGCAGGCTCTTCAGTGGAACAGAAGGGATGCTGAGGCAGCAATATCATGAAGTGGCTTAGCTAAACCCTCGCTCCCTTTTTTGCTGTCTTATTGATAGACTTGTACATCTTTACTTGTTCTCACTCAGTGAAGTGAATCTATGTTAACTCTTACAGTCTCTGCTTTCTAATGGTTGTTACCACATTGTTTGATACATGAATATCAATTACAAACTGCCCTTTAATATATAGTGCTTTTGTTTTCTTGTCTACCACTTTTTGGCTTGTATTCCATTCTGTTAAGACCGTTATTCTATTTTTTGCTTGCCTTGTATACTTTGGGACTTTTTTTTTTCAAACTTTATAAATTCCACAAAGTGAAGTGGTTTTTAAATTTTGTTTTATCTTACTGATTTTTATGCAGGTGAATATTTTTACTCTAAGGGTAACTTTATACATTTTGATAATAATACCCATAGTTCTCCACTTATTTGGATATCATCTCTTAGTTCCCTAATATGAAAAGTAATACACTTCTTTCCCCCTTTCTGTTGTCTCTGTCACTGCCCAAACGTTGTAAATTAGAAGTGCTGCCTGTGGCTCTGTGCAGGAAAGGTGTGTGTGAACTTCCTCTGCCTCCCAGGCCCCTGGCCCTGGTCCCTCCAGCAGCTTGTGCTAGATCCAGCCTCTGCTGTGCAGCCATGCAATGCACTCAGTTACTGCCCAGTATTGTAGAGTTTTTGGCAATAATGGTGTCATATTTTTATAATATTCCTAGTGGTCTAATGCAGGCGTGCTATAATTTGAAACTCTGACTTGAAACTCCCCTTGAATATGGCAACCTTGCTGAATTCTCTTATTAGTTCACAAGTAGCACTGATTTTTGTGTGTTCCCCTGGGATTTTGTTGTTGGATCGTCATAATGACAGTTGTACCTCTTTCCTCCAATCCTTGTGTCTCATATTCTCCTTTTCTTGTTCTTACTTTTCTAGTGATGAGTTATTCCTGCATTCCTGGGATATACCATGCTTTATCATCATCATGTGATTTTTAATACACTATTGGATTAAACTAGTTAATATTTTATTTAGGATGTTCACATGTACACTTATAAGTCAAGTGTCCTTACCTGTTTTTAGAACCAGCTCTTCAAAATAGGCTGAACAACAAATGTCCTGTTTTCTGGAAGAATTCCATAAGATTGAGATGAACTATACTTTAGATTTACTTTAGATTTTTAAATGGTCAAACTTAACTATAAAAGTGCTTGGGGGATCCCTGGGTGGTGCAGCGGTTTGGCGCCTGCCTTTGGCCCAGGGCACGATCCTGGAGACCCGGGATCGAATCCCATGTCGGGCTCCCGGTGCATGGAGCCTGTTTCTCCCTCTGCCTGTGTCTCTGCCTCTCTCTCTCTCTCTCTCTGTGACTATCATAAATAAATAAAAATTTAAAAAAAAAGTGCTTGGGTCTGGATTTTGTTGGGGTGGGAGGGAAAGGCTTTGAATACTGTTTTAACTTTTTGTTACTTAGTGACCCCTTCACACTCCGTGTTCATACAACATCTCTGGGTTTCTAAATGTCTTAGCTAAAGTTATTTCTACTACTCTCACCAGTTCCCAGGCTCTGCTACAGTGTTTTTTTTGTTGTTGTTGTTCTTTGTTATTGATCATTCTTGCTTGAGATTTGCATATAATCAATTTTTTCAAAGAGGTAACTTTTGGTTTTGATTATTTTCCCTTTTTTTCTCTGTGTCCATTAGGTTGATTTCTGTCCTTCGTTATTTACAATTTTTTTGAAGATTTTATTTATTCATTCATGAGAGACACAGAGAGAGGCAGAGACACAGGCAGAGGGAGAAGCAGGCATCCTACAGAGAGCCTGACGTGGGACTCGACCCAGGGTCCCCAGGATCACGCCCTGGGCTGCGGGCGTCGCCAAAACGCTGCGCCACTGGGGCTGCCCTGTTATTTACAATTTTTTATTTTGTTGGACCTGTTCTCCTGTTCTTTTGTTTGTTTCTTGAGTTTAGTGCTTAGATTGTTTGTTATCTGTGTTTCCTCAAACCTAAAGTATTTAAAGATGTGAATTTTCTTCTAAGTATTCCTTTAGCTGTTTCCCACAAATTTTCACATGTAGTATTCTAATTAGCATTTAATTATAAATATTTCTTAATTACCCTTATGAGAGTAAAAAACCTTAGAGGTTTTTTTTGCTAAATTCTGGGAATTTAAACTGTCCTTTTATTATTAATCACCATTTATGGTTAGCTTTGACTGGGGACTGTATGCTGTATCATATATTTATCCCTTTGAGATCACCTTTATTTAGATTTCCTACACCTTCTAATATATTGTTTTGTAAGTGCTTCATGTGTGCTCTCAAATGGTATATATTCTGTGCTTGCTGTATATAATGTTATATACACATACTGTGATGCAGCTTTGTTATCAGGTTTTGCTGATCCATCAGTTTCTAAAAGGGTGTATTAAGATCTTAATGAGGGGATCCCTGGGTGGCGCAGCGGTTTGGCGCCTGCCTTTGGCCCAGGGCGCGATCCTGGAGACCCGGGATCGAATCCCACATCGGGCTCCCGGTGCATGGAGCCTGCTTCTCCATCTGCCTGTGTCTCTGCCTCTCTCTCCTTCTCTCTCTGTGACTGTCATAAATAAATAAATAAATAATTAAAAAAAAAAAAGATTCTTTAAAAAAAAAAAGATCTTAATGACAGTTGTTGATACATCTGTTTTCCCTGCATTTCCAACAATTGCTTTATATAGTTTGAAGATATAAGTGGTGTATATATTTATATCTTCTTACTCTTCTTATATTTCACATGTGAGTGAAATCATATGATATTCATCTTTCTCTGACTTATTTCACTTAGCATTATTGTCTCTGGGTTCATCCATGTGATTATAAATGATGAGATTTCATTCTTTTTTATGGGTGAGTAATATTCCACTGTGTGTGTGTGTGTGTGTGTGTGTGTGTGTGTGTACACCACATCTTCTTTATCCATTCATCCATCGATGGACACTTGGGTTGCTTCCATACCTTGACTTTTGTAAATAATGCTGCAGTAAATATGTAAAGATAGGGGTGCATATGTCTTTTCAAATTACAGTTTGCACGTTCTTTAAGTAAATACCCAATAGTGAAATTACTGGATAATATGGTAATTCTATTTTTTTTTTTGAGGAAACTCCATACTTTTGTCCACAGTGGCTGCACCAGTTTGCATTCCCACCAGCAGTGCAATGCTTGTTGTTTCCTGTGGGTCTTGGTGGCTTGAGGGTATTTTATTTTATTTTATTCCATTATAATTAACATATAGTATTGTATTAGTTTTAGATGTACAGCATAACAATTCAGCAATTCCATATATTGGATTCCTGTTCATTTTCTGAATTCATTCTTACTCCTCTCCCTCCCATGTTTTAAGTATATGGTGACATACTTTACATCCTTTTATTTTGTGAATCCCTTGACTTAGTTTTATAGATACACTTATTTTTACCTCTTTTGTGCTTCCTACTTTTCTTACTCCTTCTGGTCTTTCCTTTCTACTCAAAGAATCTCCTTTAACGTTTCTTGTAGGGCTGGTTTAGGGTCATGAATTCATTTAACTTTTGTTTGTCTGGGAAATTCTATCTCTCCTTCTGTTCTGAATGATAGCCTTGCTAAGTAGAGTATTTTTGGCTGCAGATGTTTTTCTTTCAGCACTTTGACTATTATCACACCACTCTCTTCTGGCCTGCAAAGTTTCTGCTGAAAAATTAATTGATAGCCTTGTGAGGTTTCCCTTGTGCAAATGTTTTCTCTTGCTGCTATTAGAGTTCTCTTCAGATCATTACTTTTGGCTCTCTTATTTACTTTGGGTCTTGGTGCAGACCTCCTTGGATTGGTTTTGTTTAGGGCTCTCTCTGCCTCCTGCATCTGGATTTCTGTTTCCTTCCCCAGATTCAGGAAGTTTTCAGTTATTATCTCTCCAAATAAATCCTCTGCCCCCTTTTCTCTCTCTTCTCCATCTGGGATCCCTATCATGCAACTGTTATTTATGCTTGACAGTGTCACTGAGTTCCCTGGGTCTATTTTCATTTTGCATATTTTTCCCCTCTCATCTGCTTAGCTTGATTACTTTCCATTACTCTGTCTTCCAGGTTACTGATCTGTTCTGCTTCCTCTTGTTTGCTATTTATTCCAGGTGGCCCACTTTTAATTTCATTTAGTGAGTTCATTATCTCTAACTGGTTCTTTTTTATTTCCTGTCTCTTTGTGGAGTGTCTTACTGAGGTCCTCCACTTTTTTCTCAAATCTAGAAAGTATCTTTACAAGCATTACTTTTAATTCTCTATTAGGCATAATATTTATCTCCATTTCACTTAGATCTCTTGCTATAATTTTATTCTCGTCTTTCAGAACATATTCCTCTGTCTCCTCATTTTGTCTAACTCTGTTTCTTATTATATATTCATCTTTTCATCAGTTTTACAAGTCAATTTACAAGCATAAGTTTATTCTGCTACTTTTCCCTTCATATAATTTTTACATTGATAAATATACAACCTCTCAACTGTTAAATAAAAACTGTTAATAAAATGTTCCAAATAGTAATATGTGTATTAAGAAATGGCACAGAGGAGCAGTTGGGTGGCTCAGTGGTTGAGCATGTCTGCCTTTGGCTCAGGTTGTGATCCCCTTCTTCCTCTTCCTATGTCTCTGCCTTTTCTGTGTGTCTCTCATGAGTAAATAAATAAAATCTTAAAAAAAAAAGAAATGGCAGAGAGATCACAATTTGTAGTTTTAATATTAAATTTGGAATATTTAATGGTGTATTTTTGGTGGTTTACACAAAAACCTGTCACATATAGCATATCCACATATGAATATATGTTATTAAATAAATAATCTGTAGGTATGCTATTTGCACTTATTGCTCTTTTAACATATAAGAATCTGAATTGCATGCAATAGGCAATTGGAATCTTTTTTTTAAGATTTTATTTATTCATGAAAGACACAGAGAGTGAGGCAGAGGGAGCCCAATATGGGACTCGATCCCAGGACTTCAGGATAATGACCTGAGCCAAAGGCAGACACTCAACCACTGAACCACCCAGGTGCCCCAGCACTTGGAATCTATCCAGCTTCTTCATGTTTCTGTCACTAACAATATCTGCAGGAGTGGGGGTGTCATTAACTCAGAGCAACCACAGGATTAACAGAAGCCATATCCTGGAATAAATAATGTATAGTTTGCCATCCAGTTGATTCTATGGAATATCATATACAAACCATAAATACTTTACAGTAGGATTATGATTTTATTTCACAACCTTCCAAAATAGGGAATTGTGAAAATCTTTAACCAGATGGGATGAACCTGTCTGAATGTCTCTTATTTTGATTATCCCACTTCTGCTGATCTTCTGTGCATCCCATGCTATCCCTAGTCCACTCCTGCAGGGCTTACATCCAGGCAGACATCTAGGTTTATATTGTATATGGCAGAGAATCTCTAGCCCCTGCATCTAAAACTGCTCCGAGTACAAGCCTTAAGTGAGTGTCTCATCCAACTCCATTTAAAAGAGGTTTCTTTCAGCTGATTTCCTACCTCCAGTAGCCTTGCCATAGGAACTACTTTTCTCCATTTGTACAGTCCTACTGAGTGTTCTGTGTCACCTTCAGCTGCTCCTTGTCTGTCCCATCAGGGTAATGCAAGAAATGAGAAATGGAGTAGGAGAGAGGTCAATGAGAAAAAAGATAAATCCCACTTTTTTTTTTTCTGTAGGCACAGTTTCTGATAGTATTGACAGTGAAATAAACCCCACTTTAGAAGGAAACATAGATGCCCTTATAATTCCTGTGTTAAAATATTAAGTATCTTTACAAGTTGCAGCCACTTCCTGGATGTTTTATTGTATAACCACATCAAGTCCTCAATCTTACAAATTGTACTTATTATCTTAGGATATTCTTAACATTGAAACATTAAAATAATTGTTGTAAAGCTGAAAACCTACCTTAATGGTGACTAGAATTATACAAAGATATAGACTCTTTTAAATTTTCTTTTGGTGTAGGATAATTAGATAATGGTTCTAGAATAACAGCTAGTTCTTAAACATATTTTAAAGAATGAATTATTTTCTTTTTAAAGATTTACTTAGAGGGCATGTGAGCAAGGGGAGGGGCAGAGAGAGGGAGAATCTCAAGCAGACTCCCCACTGAGCCCGATCTGAGCTCGATCCCATGGCCCTGAGATGATGACCTCAGCTGTAGTCAAGAGTTGAATGCTCAACTGACTGAGCTGCCCAGGTGCTCCAAGAATGAATTTTAAATTGAGGGAGGGCGTACAAATTTGCTACTGGGGGTCTGTGAACATAACATTTTGTGTGTATTGTATTTTGGTTGGAGAAATTAAGAACCACTGTCTTGATATAGTAGTATTCAGTACCTAGTTAAGAGAGATTTTGTAGGATTATGTATTAAAGGTTTAATTTGCAATGCCTTTTAAATTAATGTATTTATTTTATTTTAGAAAGCAATATTTATTGCAACACAACAGTTGGGCTTACAACAATGGCCAGCTCAGAAAAAGAAAATCATACAGTTTTATAATCAACTGCAGGTGAGTGTGGAATGACATGTTAGCAGCTCTTTGCTCCTGAATCATTCTGATCAAGGAGGAAACCAGGATAACAATAAAGTGTTTTACTCATTTATTTACCCAAATTTGGCTGCTCAATTCTCACTTTAACTTTGAACAGATCAGTCCTTTTCACCTTTGTCCCCTTAATACATGATTCTAAAAAACCCTCCAGTGTTCTGCCTCACATAGCTAGCTATACCTTCTTTGAATTTTCTGTCCCCATGAATGAGCCATTTGGAAAATATGGTGCATTTCCCTGATTACTAGTAAAATTGTACATCCTCATATATATTTCTTTGCCATTTGAGTTTTCTATGAGTTGCCATTTCTCAATTGGATTTTTTATCTTTTTCTTACCAATGTGTAGGCTTTTCATTATGTAATTTCATATCCTATTTCTTTCTTGTTTCTGTACATTACAAATAAATTCTCTAAGTCTTAGATTTTCAGAAATATTCAGTTCAAGAGACGTTGTTAATGCAGTAAAGTCCATTGATCATTTTTTATGGTTTGTGTTTTTGTGAATTTTTAGAAATCTTTTCTATTTCATAAAGATATTTTATGGTTATTTTCTAAAATGTTTTGATACTTGCAATTTCCATTTCTAAGTTGTCTAGAATTTCCTTTTCTTTAAGGTGTCAAATATGGGTCTCTTTTTCCTCAGATGGATAGCCATTTCCCAAGACTTTTCCTCCCTGGTTTGCTGTTTCTCTCATATACCATGTTTCCAATATAATAGGTTGGATTTCCTTGTTGATTTCTTCCATATTTTATTATTTTGGCCTTTATCTTATGACAGCACCAGTCCTAATTACCATAGCTTTATAGTAGGTCTCCATGATTGGTGGTACCAATTGTAAGAGGAAAGAAAAGCTATTCCTGACCCTCTTAGGGTTCCTGGCTGAATCTGAAAATCAAATTGACAGGTAGATTAGCAGGATAAAAACATGCACATTTTACTGTATTTGATATTTTTATATATAGGAGCCTTCATATAAGAATGGAAACCCAAAGAAGTGACCAGAATAGGAAGTTTATACCTTTTAGATAAAAAATGAATTTGTGAAGAATTGGCAGGACAGAGGGGTTTGGACTGAGGGTGTAGTAAGTGGTAAAGAAGTAACTGGGAAGATGTGGGCCAGTTGAACCAGGTTTGTTCACACAGCCTTGTCAGCCCTGCATTCCCCATAAGGATGTCTCTGCTCTCTGGGTACAAGGAGGGTGCCTTTCAGTGGGAGTTTTGTGACCTGTTTCAAAGAAGAAAGATGGTGGTGTTTAGAAAGGGGGTGTTTGGAGTGACCTTCCTGCTTCTCCATGTGAAAAAGACTCCTCCAGCTTAATCTGCTTAACACGCCAGGGTCAAGGTGCCTAGCTTGTCCTGAGCCCTATCTCAGCCATAATCTTTGATTTTTGCTATTTTCAAGATTCTTAGATAATCAGTTCACTGACTGCCAGTTTTAAAAAAAATCTTGTTTGGGTTTTTATTGGGATAGAATTGAATAAATAATTAATGGTGAGAATTTTCATGAATATAATGGGTTGATTTAATAAGTTAGTCTACCACAGCTTCATAGCATCAGAAAGCACTAGACTCCTGCATCAGGGAGGTTTGTTAGTCATTCAGCAACAGCAGTAGCCATGTCCCTAAGATTGAATTCTCAGAGGATGACACAGGGTCAGGTGATAGGTCTGTGTGCTGCACACACAGTTGGTTGTTCCACAGAAGAACCCCATGCTTAGGAGCACTGCAGTCTTGTGAGGGGACTACCCCAGACATTCCTAACCTCTACTCTTGAAGGGCACATCATCTTTGTTGTTCTAGCCAGCAAATAAACATTCCCCATCCTGGTAAGAGGATTATCTCTATCTTCCAAAAACTTCTTGCTATACAAACATCCTTGGAAAGGTAGCCCCAAACAAAGCTTTCAATGCCCCTGTTCAGAGGCATGTAAAAGTGTCAGCAACCGTAAAGACTTGTCTCCCAAAAACTCTACCCCTCATTTATACACTGTCTTGGCTTCTGGTGAATTTCCCCATGACCACTCTATTGACTGCTTTGATTAATCTGACTGACAAGGACTGGAGCCAGACATATTCAATTTATTTCATACAGCGTTTATGTAAAGCCTATCTCAGGAGGACTATATACAGTAGGATGGAGCCAACCTAAAATATTAATCTCAGCCATGCCCATCCAAGGTTCTGGGCCCAAACAATGAAACAAATCCTAAGGCACCAGACTCTACCTTAGAAAGCCAGTGAATTTCTCCTAAAATTACTATATTGATTGTTCCTCTTGGTCCAAAAGATTAATCCAAGTAGAGCAAGATTGTCAGTTGTACAAATGTTTCTTGGCCCTGAAGGAGGAATTGATTAGGGCAGTTCTTTTTCCTAACAACCCTAGACAGTGAATTGAGACTGTCTGACTGCCTTCCAGGGACAAGTTGATGTTTCCTTAAATATTGAATTTTTAACATGTTAACTACCTCTAATGTGCAAGTTGCATTGTTTTAGGGAAGGAGACTAGTGTCTGACTTCTACATAAGAAATACAATCATAAATGTATACATGGTGCCCTTAAGAAAGACTTTCTTAATAGTTGTTGGGTGGGCTCCCCAAGTGGGATTACAACGGTTCAAGGAATTCGGCATGATGGTGCCTCTGCCATGGGTTCTCAGGTCAGTTCTAATAATTAGATTTAGTTTGTTTGGTTTTGGGTTTGTTTTGTTTTTGTTTTTGTTTTTTTGTTTTTTTGGAGTGGCCACTTGAGGACAAGCAGTCCAGTCTAACCTGTTTGCCTTCTCACGAGCCAGATGGCATTTGTCTGTTCCATAAAATGAGTGAACCATGGAGATAGGGGAAGACATCCAAGTTTTCTTGAGGTATTGACAGGTGTTTTGTCTGGGAAGCGGAGAAACTGAGGCCATCCCTGCTGCTTCTGATAGGCCTCTCAGTAATACTTAAGCAAATAAAAATTAAATCATGGTCAATTCCACTGGTAGGGGATGGCAGTCCCAGCAATCTGTAAAATGAAAGGCTCCTACAGTTGTTTGGAATGCCACATTAGAGTATTTTCCTTTGTGAGGAAGGAGAGACAGAGTTTTGAAAAAACAGATGTTCAATATCCATCCCTCCCCCTGTATTCCATGGTCTGAGGTATGTCTGGCCTAGGTGTCTGGGTTTTTGCTATCCTTGCACTGCCACAAAATTGGCATGCCTCATTTTAGTAATTCTTACCCTAATTATTTTCCAAACATCTCCTGCTGTGAGACAAGAGGGACAAATATGTTTTTATGGAACTTGTAACCATTATATACCCTGCTTTGGCCTATTTGGGCCACTAAGAAGAACTCATCAGGAAGTGTACTCAGTCAAGTAATCATTATCCTATGGACTAAGACCATGACAATCCAAGAGAATCTGTATAGTTGAACCAGAATTAAATTTTAATCCTCTAAGCCCCATTTTGAAATGTGCACAGTCAGGATGAACTGGGGTTGTGATTATGGACAAGAAGGAAGCAACCATGCTCAGGAATGGTTAGGATTGAATCCCAAATTTCCAAAATAGGTTTCTATAATCCCCCATCTCTTTTATGCTGATAATTACCCAAGAAGCAGATGAAAGGAGATGATCCCCTTCTGGGGATGTCCACATTCAGTGACCAACCCTCCCTGGCAAGGTGTGTGGACAAAGAGAAGGTAAGGGGGAGAGAGTTGGAAATATTTTGAGTCCGTCTTCGAGAAGGCTGTTTCAGTGCTCAATCATACCAGATACATATGGATGATAGGGAGTGGAGAGACCCCATAAAATATCTTGACCATCAGCTCAGGGTTAAGAGACTCTTGAAATAAAAGGTATACCATTGTTAGACTGCAAATGGTACAGAGTCCAACTGACAAAAATTTTGTTTCAAGAAACATAATGGTGTAGCTGGAGTTAGCTGATTGGAATCAACAGCAATCCCATAGCTTGAAATAGTGTCATTGTCGGTGAGTCACCATCAATAGTCCCAAGACAGGAGGTCACAGATCTAATGTGGGACCTGCAGGAGTATGTGGGGCTCATTCGTGCCCTAAGTCAGTATGACTTTTCCCATTATGAGACAGGAGTCTGGAGTGCAGCAGTATTCTCTGCATCACAAACACAGTTCTTTACTTGGTGAGTTCTGTGATGGGGAACGTGTTGCCACATCCAGTGTGATGTTGTGTCCAGAGACAACAATCATGGCAGTCTGGGAAGGGCAGGCTGGATGAGCAGCATGATTCTGGGTCATCTCAGTAAAGAACAGATCCTCATCACGGGCCCATGAGTAGCTCAGTTTGAGGAGCAGCCACAATTTGTTCCCACAGTTCACAATCCTAGAGAGGGTTGTCTTTAATCTTCTAGTCTGTGGTTTCCCAAGCGGCAGACCAACTAGCAAGTCAGAGTTGTCATCAGTGGGCAGGATTGACAGATGTGCTCTGGTTCTACATAGCTGGCTCTGAGGAGGGACAGCAAGAGCCTTCAGGTCCCAGTGAGGCTGAGCCACCAGGACACTAGACTGAGGCATTCATGGGAATCTTTCTAAATTAAGGGCTTAACAGAGCCAGCAGCTTTGCTTCAGGAGGTGAAGTAGGGAACAAAGTCACTCCCAGAGGGGCAGCTGCCACTCATTCATGTAAAGCCATGATGCCACTACAGCCAGTTAGCCGCATTCTTGAATATATCATTTCTTCTCGACATCCAGGGCTTCTCACCTTGCCTATCAGACTAGAGAATCACAAGACCTCCATGAAGATAGATTGTAATGGAAATGAAAAAACATTTTAGATTTATCCATATTTGAATTTTGGCATATTTATTTAATATATTATTAAGAATAATCATTTCTTTAGTGCTATTACAATTGTCTAAAAGAGATGATCAGGGACTCTTTTTAAGAACATCTGGCCCTTTCCCTCTTGCCTTAGTCCATTTGGGCTGATATAGCAAAATACCATAGATGGGATGGTTTAAACAACAGATGTTTATTTCTTATAGTTCTGGAGGCTGGGATCAACATGCTAGCTGATTTGGTTTCTGCTAAGAAACCTCTTCCTGGCTAGATAGTCACTTTCTCACTCTGTCCTCACATAGTGGAGAGATGTTGAATTCTGAACTCCCTCTCCCTCTTCTTACAAGGACATTAACCACCCTCATGACCTCATCTAATCCTAATTACTCAAAGACCCCACTTCCAGTATTATCACACTGGGTGTCAGCCTCAGCATTTGAGTTTTACAGAGATGCAAACATTCTTCACTCCATGACACCAATTGTGATTGGGTTGGACAGAAGAAGATGGAATCAAGCAAATTTTGTAAGACATGAGGGACTTTGGACAACGAGTACCTAGTGGTTTTATTAACTAGATCAGGAAATAAGAGAAGCAACAAGTATGAAAAGGTGTAGGTTAAATTATGTTGACTTTGAAAATCATGTGAGACATCCAGATGGAAGTATCTAATAGACCACTGAAATTTCACTTAGGCACATAGAACCAAAGACCAAGGAAAAGATGTACACATTAGGAAGTCATTAGAACTCAAGTCATAGTTACTCACTCAAGTTGATGAGATTGGTAGGGCCATTGGCGGGCGGGGGGGGAGAGAAAAGGATGAATTAGGGAAGACTAAAATAGAAATGACGTTCAAAACTCAAAAGAGAGAAGAGAATAAAGAAGAAAGCTGAGATAAATCATATTACAGAAGCCAATCTTAGAGAAACATACAGAAATAAAGGAGAATTGGAAAGAGATAAACTGTAAAATATCAAGAATTGAAAGTTATCCTTTGAATTTTAAAATTAGGAAATTTCTGTTTATTTTGACATTAACCTAGTCAATGGAAACAGAACCCAGATTATAATAAATTGAACAGTAATTTGAAGGGTTTCCAGACATAGAGATGTATTTGTAAATAAGAACCTTCAGATTTCAGTTTAGCTGAATCATCAGTAAACCAAAACTAAATCATAAATCTGCAACTTTGTTTTAGACTTGTGTTGGTGTGATGTTAGTAGGCCCAACAGGTGGAGGAAAGACAACAGTCAGAAGAATTTTAGAAAGAGCATTAACACTATCACCAGTTGAAGACCTCCTGTCAGTTACAGAAAGGGAATCTATTTCACAGGTAAATACTAAGTAATATGTTTCTCTATTTCTTCAGACCTTAATTTATACTTCAGTAACATTTTATGTCCTATTTACATAAGTATGTTTAATTTATTGCTAGGAATTTAGTAGTTAGGAATCATTGTAGTAAATTGGATTTTTTAAAGATTTATTTATTCATTCATTCATTCAGAGAGAGAGAGAGAGAGAGAGAGGCAGAGACACAGGCAGAGGGAGAGCAGGCTCCATGCAGGAAGCCCAACGCAGGACTCGATCCCGGGTCTCCAGGATCACACCCCAGGCTGCAGACGGCGCTAAACCGCTGCACCACTGGGGCTGCCCAAATAGGATTTTTTTAATTTGAATTAAAGCTAGTAATTACTAGTATAAAATAAATCTATTAAATTATATATTTATTTTGTAATTAGTCACCTTCACGGACTAGTTAAGTTGTAATTGTTTTTATAGGTGATCAATTGAATCATCTTCAAATGAATATAATTTTGTCTCTTGTAATATTTATATAATTTATATTCTTACTGCATTCATTAACCCTCCAAGATAGTGTTAACTATAATAATATCTTGTTCCTTACTTTATCAGAAATGCAGTTTATATTGCTGTATTTAATATGATATTTGTTCTTCATGTATGGTAAATATTCTTTTATACTTTGGTAATTTTCTTCCATTCTCATTATACTTTGGTTTTTGACTTCTGTAATTTATGAAATAAATTATATATAACACCCAGTGCTCACCATGACAAATGCCATCATTTGTCACCCGCCCCCACCTCCTTCCAGCAGCCCTCAGTGTGCTCTCCATCATTAAGAGTCTCCTATGGTTTGTCTCCTTCTTTTGTTCCCTCCTCCCCATATATTCATCCATTTTGTGTGAAATCATATGGTATTTTTATTCAATATAAAGTTAGATTCCAATAAATAGTGTGTGCTTCAGTTATCTTATTTAAAGACTCGGCAGTATATTCCAAAAGTTTTAGAAAGTCAGGGTCTTAGTTCTACCGATGTTTTTTCAGCTAGTGTGCAGTTTCTTTCCATTTTCAGATGTTTGTTTCAGTAAGCAAGAAAATTTATTTTTTTTTGTAGTTCTTAATAAATAACTCTTTCTCCTCCTTGATTAAATTTATTCCAAAGCATCTTATTCTTTGGATGCTATTATAAATGGAATTAGAATTTCTTAATTTTTTGTGTTGTTGAAGTGTGTTCGTTGCTGCTATTTAGAAATGCAACTGATATTTGTGTGTTGATCTTGTATCCTACAAGTATGCTGGTTCATTTATTAGCTCTAGTAGTTGTTTTGTAGATTCTTTGTGGATTTTCTATATATATAATCATGTCATATTTTTTTAAAAGATTTTATTTATTCATGAGAGACACACAGAGAGAGACAAAGACAGAAGCAGAGGGAGAAGCAGGCTCCATGCAGGGAGCCTGATGTGGGACTTGATCCCGGGACTCCAGGATCACGCCTTGGGCTGAAGGCAGTGCTAAACCACTGAGCCACCCAGGCTACCCTCATGTCATATTTAAATACAGATAATTTTACTTCTCTCTCTCTAATGTGGATGCTTTTTATTTTTTTTCTCACCTAATTACCAGGCTAGAATTTTCAGTGCAGTGTTTAACAGCTTTGGTGAAAATGGGAATTCTTGCCTTGTGCTTGATTTTAGAGAGAAAGCTTTCAGTCTTTCATTATTGAGTATGAAGTCATCTCTGGGTTTTTCATAAATGCTCCTGATTATATAAGTAAGGAAGTTCCTTTCTATTTCTAGTTTGTTGAGTGTTTTTATCATGAAAGGGTGTGAATTTTTATCAAATGTTTTTTCTGCCTCTCTTTATGTGATCTTGTGGTTTGTTTCCTATGTTGTATTATATCACATTGATTGATTTTCTTTTGTTAAACCTGCCCCTCCATTCCTAAGATAAATCTCGTCTGGTCATGTGCTGTTACATTCAGTTTGCTAGCACTTTTTTGAGGATTTTTGCATCTCTGTTCATAAGGGATATAGTATGTAGTTTTCTTATGGTGTCTTTGTGTGGATTTGGTATCAGAATAATTCTAGCCTCATAGAATGTGTTGGGAAGTATCCTCTTCTTTTCTATTTTTTGCAAGAATTTGAGTAAAATTGATGTTAATTCATTGTCAGATGTTTGGTGAAACTCCTCTACCATCTGATTTTGGACTTATTCTTGGAGATTTTGATTACTGATTCAATCTCTTTACTTGTTACAGATTTGTTGAGATTTTCTATTTCTTGAGTCAGTTTTGATAATTTTTGTTATTTCTAGGTATTTGTATCCTGCAGATTATATAATTTGGCATATAGTCATTCAAGTGTTGTTTTTTTTTAAGATTTTATTTATTTGACACAGAGGGTGCACAAGCAGGGGGAGTGGCAGAGGGCAAAGGGAGAAGGAGAAATACTCTCTGCTGAGCAGGGAGCTTGATGCAGGACTTGACCCCAGGACCCTGAGATCATGACTTGAGCAGAAAACAGATGCTTCACTAACTGAGCCACCCAGGCGCCCCATAGTGTTTCTTATAATCCTTTTAATTTCTGCAAGGCACTAGTAATGTCCATACTTTATTTCTGATATTATTTATTTGTGTCTTTTTAATTTAATATTTCCTTTTTATTGAGGTATAATTGACATGCAGTATTATATTATTTCAGGTGTACAACATAGTTATTTGACATTTACATATATTGTGAAATGATCACCACCAGTCTAGTTACCATGTCACTATACAAACTTAATACAGTATTATTGACTCTGTTCTCCATGCTGTGCAGTGCTCCCTAGGACTTAGTTATTTTATAACTGGAACTTTGGACTTCTTGATTCCTTTCACTTATTTTGGTCCCCCTGCCAGTATCTTTCCCATTTGGCAACCACCCATATATTCTCTGTATCTATGAGTCTTGGGTTTGTTTTGTCTTTTAAAAAGATTCTACAGGGGATCCCTGGGTGGCTCAGTGGTTTAGTGCCTGCCTTCAGCCCAGGGCATAGTCCTGGGGTCCCAAGATCAAGTCCCGCATCAGGCTCCCTGCATACAGCCTGCTTCTCCCTCTGCCTCTGTCTCTGCCCCTCTCTCTCTCTGTTTCTCATAAATAAATCTTTAAAAAAATTAAAAAGATTCTACATGTAAGTGAGATCATGTGGTATTTATCTTCCTCTTTCTGACTTATTTCCTGAGCATAACCCCAAGATCCATCTGTGTTGTTACAAATGGAAAGATTTATTCTTTTTTTAATGACTGAGGATTCCATCATGTATACACTTTGTGTGTGTGTGTGTGTGTGTGTGTGTGTGTTCGTGCATGTATACACACCACATCTTCTTTATCCATTCATCCATCAGTGGACATTTAAGTTGCTTCTATATTTTGGTCATTGTAAGTGATGTTGAGCATAGAGGTACATATAACTTTTCAAATTAGTGTTTTTGTTTTCTTCCAATAGATACCAAGTAGTGGAATTGCCAGATCATTAATTAATGATCAGAAATTATTAGGATCTCTTTCTTTGGAGTGAAAGACCTCTTCTAAAACTCTTGATATTAACAGTGTAAAAATTTAAATAATTGTATTATAGTTGATGCCTTTAAGAAACCACACTGGAGGGATCCCTGGGTGGTGCAGTGGTTTGGCGCCTGCCTTTGGCCCAGGGCGCGATCCTGGAGATCCAGGATCGAATCCCACGTCGGGCTCCCGGTGCATGGAGCCTGCTTCTCCCTCTGCCTGTGTCTCTGCCTCTCTCTCTCTCTCTCACTGTGTGCCTATCATAAATTAAAAAAAAAAGACATTTAAGAAACCACACTGGATTTTTTCAGATTTCAGGAAGAAAAGGAAAAGTAGATATTTGTGTTTTAAATCCAAAGTGTATCACTGTTAGTGAACTATATGGACAACTGGATCCTAATACTATGGAATGGACTGATGGATTATTATCAACAGCAGTTCGGAATTATGTATATTTTAACAATGCAAGGATCTTAAAGAAAGACAGTGATTTCGGATTGAAATCAAGAATCTCAGATGCATCTAATGTAAGTTAATATGGAAGGACTATTTTTGACTATGTGGATAAAATATTTTTATCCATTTTTTAAAGCATTTAAGCATTATTAGATCCTTACCAGTATAAAAGAAAATTTAAAAATCAGTTTTAAAAAGGAGAAAAATTAAAAGCTATAAAAAACTGAGATAATATGCTATTGTGTCTTAAAATGGTTGATAAACAATAAAATGAAAGATACTGGCTTTTAAATTAACATAGAGTGGAATAAGTGTAAGCAGAGGATGATCTAGTCATTCTGACACCACTAGTATATCTTACAAATTAATGAAGTATGAACATAATTCAATGGCAAGGTAAATAAAGCTTCTGATACAAAATTCATCATATAATCGTAAATAGAAAGAAAAAATTTGAATGTTGTATATTCTCATAAGTTATAAGTAGAAATTACTAGTAAATTTCATTAGCCAAAATATAATGGAAGAATGACATTTAGAACCAAACAGATAAGCAAAGGTTTTTTTCAGATTTTATTTATTTATTCATGAGAGACAGCGAGAGAGAGGCAGAGTGAGAGGTGGGCCGGATGCAGGACTCGATCCCAGGACCAAGGATCATGACCAGAGCCTAAGGCAGATAGATGCTCAGCCACTAAGCCTGCAGAGATTTGTTTTTAAGTTTTTACCTAAATTCCAGTTAGTTAACAGAGTATGATATTAGTTCCAGGTGGACACCATAGTGATTCAGCACTTGCATACTTCACCTGGTGCTCATCAAGATAGGTATCCTCTTAATCCTCATCACCTATTTCTCCCGTTCAGTGGCCTCTCTGGTGACCAGCAGTGTGGTCTCTAGAGTTAAGAGTCTTTTTCTTGGCTTCTCTCTCTCTCTCTCTTTTTTTTTTCACTTTGCTCATTTGTTTTGTTCTTAAATTCCACTTATGAGTAATGTATAGAATTGTTGAATCACTGTATTGTACACCTGAAACTAATATAACAGTGTATGTTTACTACACTGGAATTAAAATTAAAAAGAAGGCAACATTAACTCTTCCAATCCATTTTTTTAAAAATACAAGTCCCTTATCAGGGACTACGATTTACAAACACTTTCTTTCATTTTGTGAGTTGTCTTTATTTTCTTGATATCCTTTGAAACAAAAGCTTTTAACCTTGATGAAGTTCAGTCTGTTTTTTCCTTTGCCACATTTGTTTTTTTGATATCATATCTGAAGACAGTTTTGTATAATTCAAGGTCAAAAGACTTTCTTCTGTGCTTTGTTTGTAAGAGTTTTATAGTTTCCACTTTTAAATTTAGGTCTTTGGTCTGTTTTGAGTTGATTTTTGTGTGCGATATAAGAAAGGGATTCTGATTCATTCTAAAATTTTAGAATTATGACATAATAAAATTTTAAAACTATCATGAAGAAGGGGGAAAATACCCACCAAAATATCCACCGTGATTCTTTATAGATGGTAGAAATTCAGAGCATTTGTTATCTTCTTTGTCCTTTAACAGTATTATTTTAATGTTATATAACAAGCATGTACTTAACTGTATGGGAGGGACTAAGAGAATTCTCTATAAGAAATAGCCTGTGATCACCCCTCAGCTGAGCCACACTGTGTTGCTTCTGTGGAGGTCTTTCAGCAACAGAACCTCTGCCTTTCCCATTTTCATACTCAAGAGACCATATTGGCATATAGTCCATTTGGATTGGAAAGTGTGATCAAACAAATATTATTGCTTACATATTTTAGGTCTTCAAACTTGATTCCTCTGATGCAGCAGATACTGACATTCATGTGTTTGAGAAGGAGGTGGGGAAAGATGTCAACATTCCAGAAGGTCAGAGAAAGTGTTACTAAGATTCAGTAAAGTGACTGATTAACAGAGGAGACAAACTGAACCAAACAAGCTTTATTGCTAACTTTAAAAACATTTTTAATTAGTGATATTTTGTTCTTATACTATTTATTTTTTTCTTCATTTGTTTATTTAGAATCTGTGTAGTGTTACCACATACTGTGGTATATTTCATCTATCCTTATGTTATAGAAGCAGTAGGTCTTATTAAGCCCTTTCAGTTTATAAATGAATATTAATATCTCACAAGAACCAAGTAGATATTAAAGGTAGAAGTAATATTGTGTGGAAACCTACAATAGCATTGCCTCTGAAGTAGGACTCCACACGGTCTATATAATACAACCCAAGCATACCCCTCTAAAAAGAATTGCACACCCACTGTGTACTACTTTGCAGTGTGCCAGGGGCTGGAGAGTGTGTACAGTGAGGTTCCTAGAGCCCCCTTAGTCTCTCACTGCTCCAGGCTGAACCTTCAGCCACACACTCATTGTTTTGCTCTTAAATTCCACTTACAAGTAATGTATAGAATTGTTGAATCAGTCATATGCCAATGTTTCAGACTTTGAAAGAGGCTTCTGCTGTTGCTTGACATTTCTAGAATTCCTCAGTTTGTGTGTGTCACTTCTTGGCATTTGAGTTAGGAGAGCATAGTCTTTGGGCATAGTGAGTCCCCTTCCTAGGGCTTTAAGACAGGCACCAAGGCAAGTATTTCCGTCAGTCAAAGCCTCCAGCATCCTGATTCTCCTCCCTCTTCTGCTGGGATTCTAATGTTCACAGTCAGCTAGCTATTTTGTACCTCCACAGTGACCCTCACATCCTTCCTCTATCTTGACCAATGAGTTTTCTACAACCGTGGAGCAGGGTGGTGCCCATAGTGTATGGAAAGAGGAGTAAATGGGGTCACAGTGTGAATTACTCAGAAATCTATTTGGTTCTTTCTTCGAAGGGCATCTACTTCCGTGCTCTATTTTCCCTTCCATGCAGAAGGGGGAAACTCACAAACTATATTATTGTGGAAAAGATAAATCCATGAATCTCTCCCTTTTCCAGAATTTAAGGGCTAATGATACAATGCAGTAATCTAAGAATATTGAAACAATATTTAAAGAATTACTAAGGTGTATGGTGTAGATAGGGTTGTTTTTATTTAATAGATATTAGAAACTGCATATAAACATATTCAGTCTAGTATTTTCTAGGATATCATTTTTCCAAACAAAATAGAAAATTTGCAAGGTTGTAATAAAAGAAGACTGAGATTATTCTCAGTTATATTAAAAATACACCTTTCTCTGCAGACTATGAGTGGCAGTGGATTATTTTAGATGGTCCAGTGGATACCTTCTGGGTGGAAAATCTAAACTCCATGCTGGATGATACTAGAACATTGTGCCTAGCAAACAGTGAGCGAATAACCTTAACTAATAAAATACGAGTGATTTTTGAGGTAGACAGTCTTTCTCAGGCCAGTCCTGCTACTGTCAGCCGATGTGCAATGGTCTATATGGTAAGTTTCCAAAAGCATATTTCTTAAAATGTATTGTTTAGCCATCATCTACAGCATTTTTAATGACTGTTTATCAATACCCCTGGACTCAGAGGTGATCAAAGTAGTTAAGTTTTGTGTTCCCTAAAGCCTCTAACCCAGAAATGAATAAGAGAGTAAATAGGACTATTTAAACTAGGACTGCTCCGTCACTGGAATGTCAGTATTTTCCACAGCCGTGAGCAAGTAGTGCCCTTAATAGGCAAGATAGGCTGCCGGTATGGATTCTTTTCTAGTAGAGGAAGACTGCCGTGAAGCCTTTCCACACCTGCTCTATGACCCTCAGGATTCGTGGAACACAGGACAGTGGTGAGGGAAATGGAAGACACAGCAAAGAATTCTTTTTTTAAAATTTAAGTTGAATTAACTAACGTATAGTGTATTATTGGTTTCAGATTTAGAGCTCAGTGATTCATCAGTTGCATATAACACCCAGTGCTCATCACACATCACATGCCCTCCTTACTGCCCATCACCCAGTGACCCCATCCCCCACCCTGCTCCCCTCCAATGACCCTCAGTTTGTTTCCTGTGATTAAGAGTCTCTCATAGTTGAGAACAGATCATTCTTTAAGCTGTTCTGATCAATTGCACTTTGATGAATGATGATTCTGATCCATATTTTGTGTGGGGCAGTGGTGAACTAAAGAGATGGTAAGTAAGAAGATGGGCACTGTATTTTTCTTTATTCATGTAAAATTATTTTTTGCTTTGTATTGTTAGGATCCTGTTGATCTGGGATGGGAGCCTTATGTTAAGTCATGGCTTTTGAAAACTTCAGAAATTATGAATCAAACAGGAGTGGGTTGTCTTGAATTCATGTTTAAAAATAGTGTCACAGATGGACTACAGTTTATAAAGAAGCATAAGAAATATCAGCCATTTCCTGTCCAAGATATAACGACTGTTATAACTCTGTGCAGAATTCTTGATGCTTTCTTTGACTTCATGAGTAAAAATGGAGGCTTTGGAAAATGTGAGTTTCCTTCTTACATGATGTGATCTTGTATTTCACCTCATCAATACCAATGATTTATCACCTTCTATTAAGTCTTATAAAAGAAAACAAAGGAAGACCAGGAATTTTTAGTCATCTTGAACCAACAACAAACATAGAACAGCCTAGGATCATTCATAAAGGAGCATGTCATTAATGTAAAGTAATATCATGTGTATGTTGAAGGGTCACTGAAATGACTAGAAGGAGTTCTAAGAGGGTCTCTATTCAGAAAGAATGCTTTTGGTATGTTTTAACAATTCTCAGAGATAGAAATAGTGGGGGAAATGTGTCCAGAATTCTAGGTGTGAGATGTAATCATGCAAAGGTATAAACATGGAGTGTAGTAAAACGTGCAAGGTGAGAGCAAAGGATTCAGAAAATAGCGTAGCATTGTAGGTAAAGGTGTGGTTTTCAGACTGAGGATGCCGATCTTCAGACCCTAGTTCTGTCTGGTTCCCAGTGAGACAGGTCATTAGCACAGGCTCCCAGCTCTGCTTCCAAAACCCAGCTGTAGACCCGTCAAACTAACAGACATTGTGAGAAATCCCTGAGGTGACAAGATGGCTAATGTCCCAGTTGGGGGAAGCAGCAGTCCTGAAGAGAAGAGAGCTGTATACCAGGAATGGGAGAATATCTAGCTTCGGCATCTCCCCTTCTCGCAGCTCTGAACAGACCATCGTCCTTCCCTTTGCCAGCCAGCACACCACAGCCCAGCTAGGGGCAGTAACCACATAGCATGTTGGCAGCGAAGCCTGACTATGTTAAGGAGCACCTAAGAGCATATTTCTTCCTATTGCTGAAGCCCTTCACATCTTAAAGTCTAAGTGGTTAAGAGAAAGAGAAGGCATTTGAAAAAGAGCAGTGTCAGTGTGGATACAAGTTTACACATGCCTCTCCTGCCTTGAAGAGTGTCCACTGCCTCTCCAGATGCACAGTTCTAAATTCATCAGAAGCATAAGTCAGGGAAGTGGGAGTATTAGAAACAAAGCAAGAAGTAGTTAAAAAAAGGATCATAATCAATGGGTTGAATCTTGATGTGGCTAGCTAGATGACAGCTCAGCCAAGGAGCTCTCCTGGATCACAGCAGGAAATGCCAGAGAGAAAGTATCATGTATGTGTACATTCACACTTCAATAGAACTAACTATATTAGAGATGCAGTTATTTACATACTATATATGCATATGTGTACATAAGTATGTGTGTGTGTTTAGTTGAAAGATGATTGAAACTTTAGCATCCATATAATTGAACCTCCACAAAGAAATTTATTAAATAAATAGAAGGGAGGAAATATTTCAAGAAATAATTACCAAGGTGTTTTGGAATTTGAGAAAGTAGAAGACGTAAGATTAAATAGGATTCTGAATATTAAATAGAATAGAAAAGTAAAAATGTACATCTAGATATATTATATTGATATATTGCCCCCACCCCCAGTACTTAGTTGCTCTGCTCTTTTGGTTTGTGGGGGTTTTGTTTGTTGTTTTTTCTTCATATTTCAGTTTAAACTTTTGTTGATTCATATTCCAAATCACTGACTCTTTGCTGCATCCTGTCTACTGTACAAGCTCTTTGAAAGAATTCTCATCTCCATTATTGTGATTTTTATTTCTAGCATTTCCATTTGACTCTTTTTATAGTACTCAGTGGTCTGCTAAAATTCTCTTCACTTTACATCAGGTGTGTTAAAAGATTTTGTTTATTTGTTTAACAGAGTGGGAGAGCACAAGCAGGGGGAGCAGCAGGCAGAGGGAGAAGCGGACTGCCCGCTTAGCAGGAAGCCCAATGCTGGGCTTGATCCCAGGACCCTGAGATCATGACCTGAGCCAAAGGCAGATGCCTACATCAGGTGTTTTAACAGTATTATTGTAGTTTCTTTGATTCTCCAACATCTGGGCCATGTCTGGATCTGTTCTTTTTTTTTTTTTTTTTAAGATTTTATTTGTTTACTCATGACAGACACAGAGAGAGGCAGAGACACAGGCAGAGGGAAAAGCAGGCCCCATGCAGGGAGCCTGATGCGGGCCTCGATCCTGGACCCCGGCATCAGGCCCTGAGCCAAAGGCCGACCCGCGGAGCCACCCAGACGTCCCTGGATCTGTTCTATTGACTGCTTCATATCCTGGCAACAGGACTCTTTTTTCATGTTTATTTTTGTGTCCCATACTTTTTAATTGAATGCCAGATATTGTGGGTAGAGGAAGAGTAGAGACAGGTATATTGAGTTTATATCTGAAAATGGTTACACCTTTTCTTCTGCCAGATTGTTGAGTTAATGGTGGGGAGGACTGAGTCTGTATTGACCAAGATATAACTTTCATTGTTACTCATAGTTAGCTTCAGTGCACCTGAGCCTGGGGCCTGGGGTTTCTCAGCAAAGAAACAATTTGTTGTGATTTAAGACTATCTAAGATTAAAGAGAGATTCTAAGAAGCTCCAGAGAGAAAAATCCAATAGAATTATAAGAAGAGTTTAACACAAGATTTCTCAATAGTGATACTGACTGATGGGAAAAAAATAATGTATTATGTTCACAGTGTTTTATTTGTAGCTAATTAAATATATTCTCAGATCTGCAAAGCCTGAAAAAGCTTAACACAAGATATTTTTGGAGTAATTCAGTACTGTAAGAAATGGATGAAGGAGAATTATATGAAATATGGAAATTAGATGTGATTAAATAATTTAGTAAAACTTAATGCAACCAGAGTAAGCAAAGAATACTTCTCAAAAGTATTAACATAAAAACCCAGAACAAAACTTAATTTTTTAAAAGATTTTATTCATTCATGTGAGGCACAGAGAGAGAGAGAGAGAGAGAGGCAGAGGGAGAAGCAGGCTCCTTGCAGGGAGCCCAATGTGGGACTCGATCCTGGGACTCTAGGATCACGCACTGGGCTGAAGGCAGCGCTAAACTGCTGAGCCCCCCGGGCTGCCCCAGAACAAAATTTTAGACAATTCCAACATAAAGTGGATAGGAAGGGAAGGAGGTGGTAGTTCAAAGAAAGCTGAGAGAGAACTATTACCTGCACTGTTTGAGGGGGAGAGAAAAAAAAAAAGAGAAGTCTAAAAAAGTGATGGGGAAGAATAAACATAAGTATAATCTTAATGTGTAATGTGGTTAAGCCTCAGAAGAATAATAGAATCAATAGCATGGTACCTGGGTGGCTCAGTTGGTTAGGCATCCAACTTTTGGTTAGCCCCATGTCAGGTTCTGTACTCAGGAGGAGTCTGCTGGAGATTCTGTCTACCCCTTCCCCTCCTGCTTGCTCTCTTAAAAAAAAAAAATCTTAAAAAAAATAGAATCCATAGCTTTATATATGCAAAGGAATATTTGTTCTTTACAATAGAGGGTAGCAAAAGAAACCAAAAGAAAGAAATTTGAGTAACAACAACAACAACAAAAAAAACCAATCCAACTTTAACAATAATTACAATAATAAAAAATGAATGAAACTCCCTCATTTAAAAGATAGAAACTGATTTCAAATTTTTGTAGGTTATTTTTAAATTTCAAGTTTTTATTTAAATTTAAGTTAGTTAACATATACTGTAATTCTGTTAACAGGTATAGAATTCAGTGATTCACCATTTATATATTCACACCCAGTGCTCATCATAAGTGCCCACCTTAATCCTCAACACCTATCTAGCCCATCTTCCTCCCTCTATCAGCCCTCAGTTTGTTCTCTATAGTTACGAGTCTTTCTGGTTTGCTTCCCTCTCTTTTCTTTTTAAGCTGATTCAATTTGGGGCCCCTGGGTGGCTCGGTCAGTTAAGCACTGTCTTTGGCTCAGGTCATGATGAGTCAGGCTCCTGCTCAGCAAGGAGTCTACTTCTCCCTCCCCCTGCTCTTGTGCTCTTGCTTGCATGCTCGCTCTCTCTCTCTCTCTCTTTCTCTTTCTCTCCCCTCAACCAAATAAACTCTTAAAAAAAACGGATTAAATTTTAAAACAAATAGAAACTTTTTCTCTACAAGTATCATCATTAAATCAAAATGATACAAATGGAGCATGCACTTTGGTTAAACAGTTTGGCAGTTCCTATAATGTGAAACATAGTTACTATATGACCCAACAAATCCACTCCTAAAAAATATACCCAAAAGAAAGAGAAATGTGTCCATGCAAAAAGTTGGACACAGATGTCTTTAGCACCATTATTCATAATAGTCCAAAAGTGGAAACAACCCTAATTCCTATCAACTATTAAATGGATAAAGTTGTGGTTTACCCACATGACCCAATTATTGGGGCCTAATAAGAAATGAAGTATTGATGCACAGAATGGATGAACCTTGAAAACATTGTGTTGAGTTAAAGAAGCCATTCACAAAGACCTTATATTGTAAGACTCAATTTATCTGAGGTGCCCAGAATAAGTGAATATGAAGTAGGTTGTGCTTGCCAGAGGTTGGGAAGGAGGAAATAGGAAGTTCTGCTAATGGGCAAAGAGTTTCTTTTTGGAGTGATGAAAACATTCTAAAATTATAGTGGTGATATCTGCACACCTCTGATTATACTAAAAACCACCAAATTGTGCACTTTAAAAGGGCAAATTCTGTAATATGTGAATTCTATCTCCATCCGTTATTTATAAAAATGGATATGGAAAGGCTGGAATAAGGGAAAGAAATAAGATAAATAATGTAAATACAAATAGAAAGAAAACCAAGCTGTCAATTTAAGTATTAGCTCAAATTTTATTTTAGGATGAAAATTGTCTTAAGCAATAAAAAGAGTAAGACATATTAAGAACATACTGGAAGATAAATATAGCAGATTATTTTTTTTAATTTTTTTTATTTATTTATGATAGTCACAGAGAGAGAGAGAGAGGCAGAGACACAGGCAGAGGGAGAAGCAGGCTCTACGCACCAGAAGCCCGACGTGGGATTCGATCCCGGGTCTCCAGGATCGCGCCCTGGGCCAAAGGCAGGCGCCAAACCGCTGCGCCACCCAGGGATCCCAATAT